TTTGCATAGAACAGATTAAATGAATCAACCTTATTGATAAACTATCGGTCGGCCTCTGCTTGCATGGCGAGAGCTAAAAAGTGACCACGAGTGAAATTCTCCTGATTTTTTCCCACGTAGTAACCCTTTTGAAAACTCTTGAAAATGTACATCTGTCTAAGGGGGTCAGGAAAAAAAAATGTGCTACCCTCGGGAAAATTCCGGAACATTGTTTTAACTGACCAGAGGCCATATTTCCTTATATAAACAGCACTAGTTTTGTTAAAATAAATAAATAATAAAATCTAGACGTACAAAACCAATCATAACTCAAAAACTCTGTTGGGTAACGTGTTAAAGCATGTTACATTTCGAATTTTTTGGTTGAATTGTAGGATTTATGCTTTTTTATTTTGTAAATATAGTGAGTAATTTTATTTATGTGTAGTAATCAATGTAGTTATTCACATGTACATGTATTCATACATACCTTAATATCTTGTTTAATTTAACTGTTTTGGAGTCCAAAGTTGTCATTTCTATTGGCCATTTTCCTAAAAACAATAAAAACATTAAATTTATAAATTTAACAAACAAATAATTTAAATTTACATTAAATTATTTAATAAAGCTCATACTGCTTAAAACATCCTTTATCTTATAGACTCAACAAAACTTTGTTTTATAATATACATGTTCCAATGGTAGCCACATTAAATAAACATGTATACTATCTTTCTAAAGAGTTTTAGACTATTAAAAGTTCACTTTGAAATGTGATTCATGCAATCGATAAATTTTAAAAAAGGTTATTTTTAAATTCTTCACATGCATTAGAGATATTATAGAACTTCATAAATATTTAGAGAAGATCCATATTTTCCATCGATATACGATTATTGTTTGAATTGCTGACATAATTATACCAAGACTAAACTAAATCTAAAATAAGACAATTTAAGACAATTTAATAGTTTTGCCACAGATGTACAGAATTTATTGCTAAAAGCTCACATGAGTCGACTAGAATAAGCCTACTGCACATCCTACTGCACATATTAATCAAGGACGATTTTTTTTTAATACTTAGTTTAACAATTAAAAATAGGGTATGTGTAAAAGAAGTTGAATTTAAGTTATTTTCAAATACTTTTAAAAATTAGTATTTTCTTATGACACCCAGGCGTATCACTACTGCATTTTATTAAGTCTTAAGAAAAATGTTGAGAAATAAATTCGGATATCTATACATACCATTTGATAGCACTTCGAAAAACATTAAAATAAAACAAATGTCAAGATTATTAAAATTATTCAGTCGATAAACATCATTTAGTTTAGCAAATTCCATACTGGAATTCATATTTCTTCCAACAGCTAAATTGAAAGCAGATTTTCCTTCACCATCTGTTTGTGTGATGTTAAAAACATGTTTTAGTAAAACTTGAACAGTTTCCGTGTGTCCCATATAGCAAGCTTCCATTAACGCATTCCTTTTAAATTTGTTTAAGCTATATATATCATTGTTTTTGTTCATAAGAAATGTTACAATTTCTGTGTGACCTTTCTGTGCAGCAATCGATAAAGCGTTATAGCCATCATTATTTACATCAGTTAGACTGGCTTTATTTTCTAAAAGTAATTCCACATTATCTAAATTTCCAGCCTGAACAGCCAGTAATAAAGCAGTATTTCCATTTGAATCTTTTTGTTGGAAATTAATATTATTTCTGAGTAAAATTCGAACAGTTGCTGTATGCCCATTCAAACAGGCTAGCATCAATGCATTTTGTTGGAGCAGATTAACACTGTTTTGATCCAAGCCTTTCTCAATTAGAAATCGTACAAGTTGTGTGTAACCTCTTTTTGCTGATATAAGTAAAGCGTTATCACCATTCTGGTTTACATCAGTAAGACTTACTCTACGTTGTAGAAGCAGTTGAACGGTTCTGAGGTGTCCTCCTGAACAAGCAAGCAATAGCGCACTATTTCCTTCATTATCTCTCTGTTGAATATTACAGTCCTGAGTTAGCAGGAATGTAATCGTTTCAGTACGACCGTTTAAACAAGCTACCATTAAAGGGTTTCTTTGACATGAATCGTTATTTTTAACATCAGCATTTTTGTTTATAAGAAATTTAACAACTTCTGTATGCCCTTGTCTTGCAGCTTCCAATAAAGCCATATTTACATTCACAAGACTCGCTTTATGTTGCAAAATTAGCTCAACAATGCTGAGACTTCCAGTGTAACAAGCAAGCGATAACGCGTTATACCCATGTGTGTCACTTTGTTGGATATTAAAATCTTGAGAAAGCAAAAGTTTAACCGTTTCTGTATTACCCCTCCAGCACGCTAACATTAAGGCATTGTACTGAAATGTGGTAGTACATTTAATATCAGCTTTGTTCTCTATAAGAAAGCGCGCAATGTCTGTGTAACCATTGTATGCAGAAAGTAGCAAAGCGTTATATCCATTGTTGTTTTTATCAGTCAGACTTGCTCCGTGTTGCAGCAACAATTCAACAATACTGAGATGACCATGTGAACAGGCAAGTAGTAATGCATTATTCCCGTCGTCATCTCTTTGACTAATGTTAAAATTTCTTGTTAGTAAAAAACAAACAGATTCTCTATGTCCCATAAAACTAGCTTCCATTAGTGCATTTCTGTGATATGTGTTAATATAATTAATATCATCGTTTTTCAGTAGAATAAATTTAACAATTTCTGTGTGCCCACTGTTTGCAGCCACTAGCAAAGCGTTATTTCCCTGTTTATTCAAGTCCATGAGGCTTGCTTTATATTGCAAAAGTAACTTTACCGTTCTGTTGTTCCCAGCTTTACAAGCTAGCAGTAACGCAGTATTTCCATCAGTATCTGCCTCTTTGATATTGAATTGCTTTGTTAATAAAAATTGGACTGTTTTAGTATGTCCCTTTAAGCAAGCTTCCATTAAAGCATTTCTTTTTGAGTAGTTTGTACAATTTATATCAATGTTTTTCTCAATGAGAAATTTGACGACAGATGTGTGCCCACCCTGTGCAGCTAGAAGTAAAGCGTTATACCCTTCATAATTGACATCACTGATACTGGCTTTACCATCCAGCAGTAATATAACAACATCTAGATGCCCAGCTTGACTAGCTAGCAACAACGCAGAATTGCCAAAACTATCTCTTTGTTTGATATTTGAATCTTTTGTTAGCAAAAAACAAACAGTTTCTATATGTCCCATTAAAGAAGCCTCCATCAATGCATTTCTTGTGAAAGTATTGATACTATTTATATCAGCGCCTTTCGCAATGAGAATTTTTACAACTTCTGTTTGACCTTTCCATGCAGCGTGTAATAAAGCATTATATCGGGTATTATCAACATCAGTATAACTTGCATCATGTTCTAATAGTACTGTTACAATTTCTATATGGCCGATTTGAGCAGCGTACATTAACGCACTTTTCCCACATTCATCTTGGTAGTTCACATTTATTCCTCCATTTAAAAGATTTAATATTTCTTCAAAGCTATTTTGTTTAGTAGCTTCTATTAAGGCTGCCATTTTTTTTTTACACAGGATTATCTGAAAACAAAACAAGATTTGTTTGCACATTATTTTTCATTACTTATTAGTCAAATGGACTATTTTAGTACTTTAAAAAATATATAATTATAATAAGAGTTTGAAAAGAAATTATTTCTAGAGTAAAACATTGTTTTAATAGTGTAGTATTTCACATTTAATCACGGTAAAATATTTTGTTAGATATTATCCCAGGTCACAGGCTAAATAAAAATTAGAGGCCGCTTAAAACAAATTCATTTTGAAAGTATAAACGATTTATTACAGGTTACTGAATCATTAAACACCAACTATGAAAAAAAATCTGATAAAAGGATTATACAGGCTTAGACTGGTAGGCCTACCTCTATCAAAATAAAACTTCACCTTCAAATCTACATTCAAAATAAATCTAAAGTAAACTTAAAAATATTAAGATTCTAACCTTAAGCAATCATCACAATATATACTAACCACAATGGTATCAATTGCTAAATGTAACGCAGAATAAAATTTACATATATTTAATAATTAATGTTACATATTGCATGAAATGTGAATGTTATGTAAACAAATATTTTAAAAAGTGTCACTCAATATAATAACGATCTAGTCAATAAAAGATCATTGATCAACAACACCAAAATTAAACCATATACTAAAGAAAAAAACACATTACATTAGTTTAAAAGGAATAAAACGATTAGACGACCAAGCCTCCGATTGAAGAACGACCTGTGGTAACACACATCTTACTACAGCTCCGATTTCACATAAAGTAACTGTAGACTCCCGTTCTTAAAGTATTAATTACCTGGAATTAAAAACACGTTTCATTAACGCCTTCCAAAATATCAATATTTTAGAAACCTCCATATGATTGACACCTCGGCTAAGTGGACATTCGCTAATATTAAAATGTCGTCGAAGCAGAGTCATAGGCCTACTTAGTAGCATAGTATGCCGTGTTTTGTATACCTTGCAATTCTAAATTTTATAGGTTTATCAGAAGTCTGTTGTCTAATTATATGCATCTAAAACTTAGGAGTTTGTATATAGAGAAAAAAAAATCTGTGGTTGTTTTTTATGTCTGTATCGCTTGAATGTTCTTTATTTCCGAAATATGTTAAACACAAATTTATTTAAAGAGATAAATTAACTTTATTATATATACATATAAACAAACGCGTCGCGAGGGGTGGCGGAGGGGGGGACATATGTCCCCGGCGCCGACCTTAGGGGGCGCCAAAATGGGTTTGAAAAATAAATTGAAAGGTTGAGGGGGTTGCAAATTGAAAGTTTGAGGGGAGGGGGTGCAAATAAAAATCTTGAGATAGGGGGGGGATGCAAATCAAAAAGTTTGTCCCCGGGCGCCGGGAAGGGTCGCTACGCCTCTGGGCGCGAATCGTTTTTTTTTCCATGCGTTATATAAAAAGAAAAGTCGATTGCCTTTTGACACCGTTTATCCGATCGCCATCAACTTTGTGGAGTTGATTTGAACACTCCAGGCGAGGTTTCTGTGAAAAATTCATTATTAATTTCGCAATTTTATCAAAATACGGCAAAATACGGTATATTAAAAAATGAAATTCTGATGCGGTTTGGCATCGTCCATCTAAGTGCCATAACAATTTAGGGAGTTCACGAGAATGCTTTTGAGAAGGTTTCTGGGGAAATAAATTCAATTTCGCACAGGCGGCCGCTCTGCAGGTTGCTGTTTCGCGCCCCACTTTTCCCGTGGGCTCTATGGCGCCTACATTCCTTTTAAACTGTGAGAAAGACTATGGAAAAGATGGGGCTTTATAGTCATTCACTAAATTGAATCAAACTCGTTCGCCGGCTCCTAGGCAGGGTTCTTTTTGGCACACTGGGCTCTCTGGTGGGCGCTTGGCGCCTACTTCCGTTTTTACGATTGGGTTTTAGAGTCGTTCACTAAACGAAATACGGGGCTGGTGTGATTTGGCTGCCCGGGCTTTTTTGAGCAGTACTGTAAGTAAACCCATGCCCCAATAAATATGATTCTAGCGAAGGCATTGTTTACCTTTAAATAACTCAGTTTAAGAAAACAAGTTCATGTGTCTAAGAATATAGGATTGATAAAGAATTTGAAGAAAACCTCTTTATATTTTTTTCTCATACTTTGTTTTGTCCCCGCGCCATACGCGGGAACGTGTATTCTAGTCTCTCTCTATGTATAAAGCAATGCATGTGTGTGTGTCTTTTATGCACTACCACACCTGTCATCTAATCTTCAAGAAAGTTGTAGAAGTTGTTGAGATTATTTCAGGGGCTGTTTCTGCGGAAAACTTATTTTCAAATTCACAGGGGTGGCGCCCCGATAGGGCGAAATTTTAATATTTTCCAAATATGGAATACACAAATAAAGGTCGAATGCGATTTGACACCGTTCATCCGATTGCCATTAAACTTTGGGGAGTTAATGAGAGAAATGTATTGTTATTACATAACGGCTGCGCTCCAAGAGAGTGCGATGTTTCTCTATATAGGGTATATAAATAATTAAAACTCGGATGCGGTTAAAAACTCTCGAGAATGTTGCTGAAAAAAAATTCTGATGGGTGTTGATGGAAGTGTGCAATTTTTGTCAATACATGCTTTGGCGCCCAGAGTTCCAGAGCGGCTATGTTAAAATTGAATTCCGTTAATCGGGCGTCCTGCATATCGTTTAAGGAGTACTACTATATCCAGCTTTTAAACTGCAGCATGAAGCGCCAGATATCCCCTACGAAGCACTATGCCGCATAAACTGTTTAAAACAGTTCGATATCCTATGATTAAGATGGGGCGGTATAGTCTTTCAATAAATTGAATTAGGCGCGTCCGCCGACGCCGCCGTATATAGAGATAGGTCCACAATCTAGACCTAGACCTAGACCTAGACCTAGACCTAGACCTAGACCTAGACCTAGACCTAGACCTAGACCTAGACCTAGACCTAGACCTAGACCTAGACCTAGACCTAGACCTAGACCTAGACCTAGACCTAGACCTAGACCTAGACCTAGACCTAGACCTAGACCTAGACCTAGACCTAGACCTAGACCTAGACCTAGACCTAGACCTAGACCTAGACCTAGACCTAGACCTAGACCTAGACCTAGACCTAGACCTAGACCTAGACCTAGACCTAGACCTAGACCTAGACCTAGACCTAGACCTAGACCTAGACCTAGACCTAGACCTAGACCTAGACCTAGACCTAGACCTAGACCTAGACCTTGACCTAGACCTAGACCTAGACCTAGACCTAGACCTAGACCTAGACCTAGACCTAGACCTAGACCTAGACCTAGACCTAGACCTAGACCTAGACCTAGACCTAGACCTAGACCTAGACCTAGACCTAGACCTAGACCTAGACCTAGACCTAGACCTAGACCTAGACCTAGACCTAGACCTAGACCTAGACCTAGACCTAGACCTAGACCTAGACCTAGACCTAGACCTAGACCTAGACCTAGACCTAGACCTAGACCTAGACCTAGACCTAGACCTAGACCTAGACCTAGACCTAGACCTAGACCTAGACCTAGACCTAGACCTAGACCTAGACCTAGACCTAGACCTAGACCTAGACCTAGACCTAGACCTAGACCTAGACCTAGACCTAGACCTAGACCTAGACCTAGACCTAGACCTAGACCTAGACCTAGACCTAGACCTAGACCTAGACCTAGACCTAGACCTAGACCTAGACCTAGACCTAGACCTAGACCTAGACCTAGACCTAGACCTAGACCTAGACCTAGACCTAGACCTAGACCTAGACCTAGACCTAGACCTAGACCTAGACCTAGACCTAGACCTAGACCTAGACCTAGACCTAGACCTAGACCTAGACCTAGACCTAGACCTAGACCTAGACCTAGACCTAGACCTAGACCTAGACCTAGACCTAGACCTAGACCTAGACCTAGACCTAGACCTAGACCTAGACCTAGACCTAGACCTAGACCTAGACCTAGACCTAGACCTAGACCTAGACCTAGACCTAGACCTAGACCTAGACCTAGACCTAGACCTAGACCTAGACCTAGACCTAGACCTAGACCTAGACCTAGACCTAGACCTAGACCTAGACCTAGACCTAGACCTAGACCTAGACCTAGACCTAGACCTAGACCTAGACCTAGACCCAGACCCAGACCTAGACCTAGACCTAGACCTAGACCTAGACCTAGACCTAGACCTAGACCTAGACCTAGACCTAGACCTAGACCTAGACCTAGACCTAGACCGACCTAGACCTAGACCTAGACCTAGACCTAGACCTAGACCTAGACCTAGACCTAGACCTAGACCTAGACCTAGTCCTAGACCTAGACCTAGTCCTAGACCTAGACCTAGACCTAGACCTAGACCTAGACCTAGACCTAGACCTAGACCTAGACCTAGACCTAGACCTAGACCTAGACCTAGACCTAGACCTAGACCTAGACCTAGACCTAGACCTAGACCTAGACCTAGACCTAGACCTAGACCTAGACCTAGACCTAGACCTAGACCTAGACCTAGACCTAGACCTAGACCTAGACCTAGACCTAGACCTAGACCTAGACCTAGACCTAGACCTAGACCTAGACCTAGACCTAGACCTAGACCTAGACCTAGACCTAGACCTAGACCTAGACCTAGACCTAGACCTAGACCTAGACCTAGACCTAGACCTAGACCTAGACCTAGACCTAGACCTAGACCTAGACCTAGACCTAGACCTAGACCTAGACCTAGACCTAGACCTAGACCTAGACCTAGACCTAGACCTAGACCTAGACCTAGACCTAGACCTAGACCTAGACCTAGACCTAGACCTAGACCTAGACCTAGACCTAGACCTAGACCTAGACCTAGACCTAGACCTAGACCTAGACCTAGACCTAGACCTAGACCTAGACCTAGACCTAGACCTAGACCTAGACCTAGACCTAGACCTAGACCTAGACCTAGACCTAGACCTAGACCTAGACCTAGACCTAGACCTAGACCTAGACCTAGACCTAGACCTAGACCTAGACCTAGACCTAGACCTAGACCTAGACCTAGACCTAGACCTAGACCTAGACCTAGACCTAGACCTAGACCTCGACCTAGACCTAGATCTAGACCTAGACCTAGACCTAGACCTAGACCTAGACCTAGACCTAGACCTAGACCTATACCTAGACCTAGACCTAGACCTAGACCTAGACCTAGACCTAGACCTAGACCTAGACCTAGACCTAGACCTAGACCTAGACCTAGACCTAGACCTAGACCTATTTCATACAGCACATTTCGGAGCGTGTTTTTCTCAATTTAGGTAAACCCGTACAAATGATCGAAACGCAGGCATTGTTTATGTTTAAAGTTTTCATTTTTTTTAAATATATATATACATGATTGTACGCATTGATGAAACCCTCATAATACATTTCGCCAGACTTTCTTCTATGCCCACAGCAACGCGCAGGGACAGGAACGCAATATATATTAAAAACCATAATAACAGACATTTTGTAATTGTAATAAGCACATATATTCAACAATTGTCAAACTCAAATAATAATAATAATTAAACTTATTAACATTGCATTTCTTATTTGCTTACCACCGATCAATCTGTATCGCCGTTCCTGTTGGTTCCTAAATCTGGCTACATATCTACCCGAGATCACCCCAGCACACACGTCATAATTTATTCTTTTCTTGTTATGCTGGTGCGATCAATATGCTTCAAGTGTAACGATTCGCGTTGTAACAAATTGTTTAACCGCCTTATTACTTGGGTAATAACAGGCAAAATAATGTTTGAGCATGATATAAATTAAAATATTTTATTTTGCACTCTATAATTTTTTTGCATTGTAAAACATACATTTAGAGCACAATTTTGCAATTTTTGTTTTAAATATGAACAAATAATACGGCCTACGATTCCCTACAGCGACCAAAGAGATTTTCCAAACGCTTGAATTCGCTGGAAGCTCTTTGCCTTTTATTTCTTTCTGTTCATTACATTGTAAAGAAGAAAAAAAAGATAAAGTATTTCATTTAATTCTAAACCTCGGCGCATAAAGGGAAGGTGAGTTAAGCACTTTGCCAGGCCTTCTTTATGAGTTAGAGATGTAGAACTGACTTGCGTCCGGATTTGATGTCGAGACTTTCGAGTTACCTCTTAGACAACACCGTGCCATTGTCTATGAATTCTATGAATAGTGTCACAGCCTCCTCGATTTTGCTAAATTGGCGTTAATTAATCCACGTATTAACTCAAGTAGAAAAAAAAATAGTTTCTCTATGTGCATTTTATTTACAACAGGATGTAGCATTTTTTTCCATAGCACGTTAACGTCATGCTGTCTCCCGCCCCAGCTTTTTTTCTTTTAAGCAGAAATGATTATTTAACTACAGTTAATCATTAAGTAAACTTGCAAAACCTATTTTTCTTCTGTAAATTGTGCCACATTTAGCCTTAATGTCACCCCTTAATGGTGTCACCCGCTGTGGTCAGCGCCGCCTCCAGCCCCACCTTGCGACGCCTCTGCTGTAAACCCTGCTATGGCAACTACCAAAACATGACTTCAAGTAAATGTTAAGCTGAACTGACCTCTATAGAATGAATGACACAAAGACTTTGGTCCCGTTTTATAAACACGTGACCCCTTGTATTGATTACGATCATGCTAGAGGTACCGGTGCACGATACAGTATTGAACCGTACGTCGTAGCGAGAACGTTCGGCGATGATGGCGGCTATCTATTGCACCGACATAGAAGGACATCAGAATGGTGTAGTAAACAAAATTTAAATGCTGACGTAAATGCTAACTACCAAATTATATGTATGAATCATTATTCAAGCAAATAGACACATTCATGAATTTATTGACTAATTTGCAAATATTCTACATGATAATATAATAGCGAGTATGCAAAGCAGCAGGCACACAATTATTGGTTAGGGCGGTTTTTGGCAAGATATTTAATTTTGTTTTGTTTGTTTTTTTTGTCGCCAGAAGATGAAACGTCTTTCTAAGCTTCGTCTTTCACTTACTTCCGACATAATATATGGTTTTTGGATTTACCGAAAGCCCCACATTCCTATATCAACTATATCATGGACTGGAACTGGCGAGATACCCAAAAAGTTAATCCAATTTTTTTTATAATTTTATATGTATTATTGATTTAATAATCATATGTCTATTTACTAGTACTGCTAAACTTTATTTTGTTCAAAGAAAATATTTTCACCATGCTACTATAGGCAAAAACAGCCCATTCGAATTATGTAGGACATATGAAGGACTTTACCAATAGACACTGAACAGCCTTAAGGTGAATCGATTAAGCTAGTGTACAACCAATTGTCGACGAAATTAACATAGCACGTTTATAATTACCTGTACAGCAATATCGATGCGTAAACCATAGTCTGGTTTAAAATTAACATTCCCACTTAATGTATTACGCTTAATCGAAACAAACATTACCAAGCACATTCCAGTAATGGTCTGTTAAAAATATTCTCTTATATACTTTTAAGATTTTGTAAAAAAATAAATCAAACATGGATTGTATTTCAACTGCGTAGAAATACATTATAATTGAATTAAATGATTTCATATTTTTAAAGTAATGTGTGTTTTTTTTAAATATATTATTTAAATACAATAGCTGTATTGGGTACTCACGACGCTGTAACTAGGAAGCTTGGCATAAGATAATTGATTCTATTATTTGATTCTAGATGTTAAGTTAACCTAATAGTGCAAATTCAACATAATATGCATGTTGAAAACAATAAATGTACATTTAAATATATTAAGTGTTCAATTATTATCCAACAATTTAAAATTTTGCACAAATGAAACACTTGTAATCAAATATTGCGTATTTTAGAGTAATTCAAATAAATTTCGTTATAGAAAATGATACACGAGGAGGTTCATTCTAAAATAAGAAACTATTTTAAACAATAAAAGTTAATTTTAAGGAAAATTTAATCTACATCATAAATATCTACCCATATGATGGTACCTCAAATACACAAACAGTATCAACGTTTTAGTAAATATATTTTAACATAATATGATTAATTTCATTTGTAATTCGACGGACCGTGAAATTGTAGAAAAATATCTAGACCTATACTTATACCTAGATCTAGACCAATACCTAGACCAAGACCTAAACTTAGACCTCGACCTTGACCGGGACCTGTAACTGGACCTATACTTAGAACAGTAAAATACACAGCATTATTCAACAGGCACTCACCTACCAAACAGTGTGTTATGTTAACTGAAATAAATTTTTATTTTCAATGATTTAAATCCTAATATATAAAAGCCCATGTGTGCAATTCTCTCTCTCTCTCTCTCTCTCTCTCTCTCTCTCTCTCTCTCTCTCTCTCTGTCCGCAAATTATTTTCGCAGGGTACCACATCATAATCTTCAGCGATATATGGAGAACTTGATACGGACTTTTGTTGAAAATAATAAGGTAGATGTTTTAAATGGGTCTACGACAAATCCCCGAAAGACACTTGCCCGAATGCCGTTTGCCCGAAGGCCGATTTTCCGAATGGACACTTAACCGAATGCGACCAACGCCCGAATGGACACTTGCCCGAAAATATTAACATTAAATTATATATTACAAAATTATCATTCCTAATCAATTTAAATTTGAAATGTTGACAAACAAAACATATTTACACAAAAAAAAAAAAATTAAATTATATATAACCACTCAGACATTCTTAGTTTATTTGTATTTGCCACATAAAGTGTAGAAACATACTTTCTCTTCTATCTATGGAATAAGACGAAAATAACATTATCATTTATCTCAGGATTTTTAAATTAAATTTTGCTTTCTTTATTAAGTAATCGCTTCAACACATTGTCTAAACAAGGTGTATTAAATGGGGATCAAACATATGTGACTACCTTTAGTTTTTATATTCGTCGCCTAGACCGCGTCCTGTTCTGTTGTGAAATAGTCACTTTCATAAGCTAAGATTATCAAAATAAATGAAACAAATGCACCCCTGTTCAATTTTGCGAGTCGCCGCGCCGCCTACGCCGTGTCATAAAAGCTATATAATCACAGCAACACGTCGGCTAAACAAGGTGTTCAAAACTTACATTAAAAGAATGTAAAGACATAAACCTTCTCCACTCATTTTACGGCTACGTCTAAAACAATAACCACATACAATTATAAACACAAAAATAAACACAAAAATAAACCCAATTGAGAACTGATATCAAAATATCACAGAAAAAAATATGTTGTTTCTGTTAGCAACCCAAATTGTTTCATTTATACATAGTTAATGCAAATGTATGTAAGCGTAATGCGTCTGAATTAAGAACTTTTTATCAAAACTCGGAGGTATGTTTTATTTTGTTAAAAAATATATACATCCACAAATCTTAATCCGGTTTCGTTTCCTGCAGTACAACCTTTTGACGAACTTTGAAAGAGACAGATAATTTCGGGAAAATCCATTATTATTACAATAAAGACAACCAAGGTTGTTTTGTGCTGTTGAAATTAATTTTATTTACTACATCAATTTTGACATAGATCTAGATACTATTATATGGTTCTGTGTTTTTGGTAACATTTTAAAAAATAACAAATGAATAACTTATGGAATTTTAATATAAATGTCAAAAGCCTAAATACAATACATTATTATAAGAATGCATACATTTGGTTTCTACTACATTTTAGTTTCCTGTAATATTTGAGAACAACCTAAAAAAATCACTGCACCCAAAAGTGACTGTTTTTTTTAACCATACCTAGTTTGTTTTCTGTATATAGGTGCCATTTTGTTAAGATTACAAAGTAAGGATAGTGAATTATCTTAATTGTTTTTAGACTGTGGCAAATTTTATACAGTAATTGGGAATTTCCAATTTTCAGTTTTATTTTTAAATGAATCAATGGCACTGAATGATACAGACATTTTCTATAACAGTTGTTTCAATGTAAATAATATCTTGCTCAAAAATGTGTTATTTTTTTTAAAAGTTGGATGCAAAAGTTAGAATTGTGTTACATAATGTTTTGTGAATACATATGTAGCAGGAAGTTTTCTATAAAATATTTTACTAAAATGTAATTTTAATGTGTAATTCTAAGCAACATAATTTTCTTTTCGTTTGCAACTTCAACTGGTCCCTTGAAAGTACCTTTTTATGAACCAAATTAAAGTATATGTATACCAATAATAGAACCATCGATTCATATATTTATATGTCCACATAACAGAAATTGTATCATGAGTAATAGCTAACAGTCAAAGTGTTGTATATTTATCAGGTCGTACAACATACTATGAAAAGTTGTTTTCTTTGAGGTGTTAAGGTTAAAACAATCAAAAGGGAGTAACTTTTATATTTAATAACACACAATGACTAATACTTAATACAGACAGCATGCATCTTTTAAATAATGACAATATGTATTGTACTTTTTTCCATTTGTGTAATGAAGGGGTTGTATTTTGAAACTGACTTTTCCTATACAAATTGCATTTTATTTAGGTTTGAAATATAACACACGTATTTAGAGGAAGAAATAAGGGACATTATGTATATGGTTATTAAACGAAAAAAAATCTTCTTAAAATTAAAAAGAACCTACCTTTAAATTCTTTATTAATATATTCGCTTTTACACAGGTAGGGCTAGTTAATAGTTTATTGGATATTAACACAGAATAAAGTACACTGTGCATATATATATATATATATATATATATATATATATATATATATATATATATATATATATATATATATATATATATATATATATATGTATATATATAAATTTATATATATATATATATATATATATATATATATATATATATATATATATATATATATATATATATATATATATATATATATATATATATATATATATATAAATGGTATCATTCTAAAATTCATAAGGGTTTGTGGATCTGCTAGCTGGTTATCATAGCTGATATTTATTTTCACATTTTCAGATGTGGTTTCCAATAGAACAACCTGGTGAAGAATATTATAAGCACTTAAATTTTAATGGTATAAGTGCGCTTATGCTTGCATCTATCGACGGTAGAGATAAAGAAGTAAAGAGACAGTTAAAACGTAAAGTAGAAGTAAATCTCGTGCAACAAGACGGATGGAGTGCTCTGATGTTTGCATCCAAATTCGGACACAAGAAAATAGTTGAGCTACTAATTAAACATGGAGCTAACGTTGCTTGTGTGGATAGAAGTGGAAGAGACGCGTTAATGATTGCATCTGAGTTTGGACATGACACGACAGTACAGCTACTACTAAAGCACGGAGCTGATGTTACTCGATGTAAAAGAGTTGGATGGAATGCGTTTATGCTAGCGTCTAAAAATGGACACAATGCAATATTAGAAAGGTTACTTGAAAGTGGAGCAGACATTAATCAAAGCAATTTGATCGGACAGAATGCATTGTTGCTGGCTGCGGAATTTGGGCATGATAAAACAGTTGAACTACTGATTCAAAAGGGTGCTGACATTACATATACCTTAGCAAATGGATGGAACGCATTTTTGTATGCAAGTAGATTTAACAATTATAAAACGGTTGATGTTCTACTGAAAAATAAAGCCGATGTCAGTCATTGTAACGATGAGGGATGCGACGCATTAGCGATCGCAAGCTTCTATGGATATAATAATATATTAAAGATACTTCTAAAACATGGGGCGAATGTCAAGCCCGCTAAGAAAGACGTTTGGAGTGCATTAATGCGTGCCTGTTGTAATGGACATAATTCAACAGTTGAAATATTACTGGAACATAAAGCTGATGTTAACTATGTTAATGAAAAGCAGTGTACTTCATTAATGATTGCCTCTAACTATGGATACAATGAAATGATAGATTTATTGCTAAAAAATGGCGCAAATATTAACTATTTTAATTCAAGTGGATCTAATGCACTAACGCTTGCATCGTATTCCGGGCATGATGAAACGGTTAAGTTACTGCTTGAAAGGGAAGCTGATTTTAAGCACTGTAACACCCATGGACAAGATGCATTAATGATTGCATCAAACAATGGGCACGTACTGTCTGTACAGCACTTTCTTAACAAAGGAGCCGATGTGAATCGTCAAGACAAAAACGAAATGAATGCATTGATGCTTGCATGTCAAAATGGACATCACAAAACAGTAGAACTACTTCTAAGAAAAGCAGTAGATTTTAATCATTCTGAATCCCATGGGTTTAATTCCTTACTGCTTGCTTCAAAGAATGGACATCATGAGCTATTGAAACAATCCGGAGCTGACATCAATGCAACTAATAAAAATGGATGTAATGGACTGATGATTGCATCTCAATTCGGACATCAGAAAACAGTAGAAATTTTGCTTGAACGCGGATCAAATATTAAAGACGTTGACTTAAAAGAGTGGGATGCTTTAATGTTTGCTTCTGACAACGGGCATGTAGAAACAGTTAAACTGTTGCTTAAACGTGGATCTGATGTCAAACACGCTAGTTTACAAAGAGTGAATGCGTTAATGCTCGCAGCTCAAAACGGACATGCACATATTGTAAAGCTGTTACATAAACAAGGAGCAGATATTAATCTCGTTGACACAAAGGGTTGTAATGCACTTATGTTCGCAGCTCAGAACGGACATGCACAAATTGTAAAGCTGTTACATAAACACGGAGCAGATATCAATCAAGTTGAATCACAGGGTTGTAATGCTGTTATGCTCGCAGCTCAACAAAATCATTTTGAAGTCGTAGAATTTCTGATCGAGAACGGAGCTATAATAAATTGTAATAATTCTTTTGAATGGAATGCACTTATGTATGCATCTCAAAATGGGAATACAACTATTGTAGAATTACTGCTTAGTAATGGAGCTGATGTTAAATACGCAACAACAGAAGGATGGAATGCACTAATGTCAGCGTCACAAAACAAACATTATAAAATTGTTTCCTTGTTGGTCGATAAAATATCTGAAAACAATACGCTAAAATCTTTATGTAAAGAAGAGAGCAGTTTGTTTACCGCCATCTACTTGGTTGATTTAATTTATTTAGCCTTGCAAGTTGAACACTGCCGTGCCATAGAAACAGTATCTGCATTTGTTCAAAAGAATTTTAAAGATCCGTTTTATGCAAGTCAGATTGAGTTTATTTGCCAATACTGTGAGTATAAAATTGTTAATCCATTACATTTGACACCTTTTCCTTTTTAATACATACTTTAAAAAAAAACGTGTATTTAATTCTTATAACACCAACCCATTCTATAAAATAAATTATATATATTTAACATTTTAATGCTTTTAACTTTTCAATTCGATTCTAAAAATCTGTTTGACCTACAAAAATGAATCTCAATAGTTTACTGAAGACTGAAATGGGACACTCGACAAGGAAATAAAAGATAAATACTTAGGTTTACGCTGTTAACTTTGCAGCATGATCAGTATAAATACTGTTCATCTAATGGCTGTCACAATAAGTCAAAACCTCAGCATTCATCAAATTAAAAATAAAATAAAATAGAACTATCTCCTCTAGGGCTCTTATTTACCTATCTAATGTATCTGAGTAATTACTAAAAAGACTATTTTATTTCTTATATCTGTATTTTTATTAGTTTAATGTTATTTCTTTTATGATGTACAACGTTTATATCTTTATAAATACTATAGGCCTACCTATAATTGCTAATAAAAATGCATAAAACATTTGTTAATCATTTTACTGTCTAGCTTTAAAAAGAATGTTAATGAGCAAAGGTATGAACAAACAAGTGAGCTTAAACAGAGGCGGTGAAAGGAGTACAGAATTAGAGAATTTACGAACGTGAGTAAAACTTATATTACGTTGAGGAACATTATTTAGGTCGGATAATTTAACCTAAACCTAAACCTAAACCTAAACCTAAACCTAAACCTAAACCTAAACCTAAACCTAAACCTAAACCTAAACCTAAACCTAAACCTAAACCTAAACCTAAACCTAAACCTAAACCTAAACCTAAACCTAAACCTAAACCTAAACCTAAACCTAAACCTAAACCTAAACCTAAACCTAAACCTAAACCTAAACCTAAACCTAAACCTAAACCTAAACCTAAACCTAAACCTAAACCTAAACCTCAGCCTCAGCCTCAGGCTCAGCCTCAGCCTAAGTCTAAGCCTTATCCTTAACCTTAACCTTAACCTTAACCTTAACCTTAACCTTAACCTTAACCTTAACCTTAACCTTAACCTTAACCTTAACCTTAACCTTAACCTTAACCTTAACCTTAACCTTAACCTTAACCTTAACCTTAACCTTAACCTTAACCTTAACCTTAACCTTAACCTTAACCTTAACCTTAACCTTAACCTTAACCTTAACCTTAACCTTAACCTTAACCTTAACCTTAACCTTAACCTTAACCTTAACCTTAACCTTAACCTTAACCTTAACCTTAACCTTAACCTTAACCTTAACCTTAACCTTAACCTTAACCTTAACCTTAACCTTAACCTTAACCTTAACCTTAACCTTAACCTTAACCTTAACCTTAACCTTAACCTTAACCTTAACCTTAACCTTAACCTTAACCTTAACCTTAACCTTAACCTTAACCTTAACCTTAACCTTAACCTTAACCTTAACCTTAACCTTAACCTTAACCTTAACCTTAACCTTAACCTTAACCTTAACCTTAACCTTAACCTTAACCTTAACCTTAACCTTAACCTTAACCTTAACCTTAACCTTAACCTTAACCTTAACCTTAACCTTAACCTTAACCTTAACCTTAACCTTAACCTTAACCTTAACCTTAACCTTCGAACGCGAACGTGAACGTGAACGTGAACGTGAGCGTGAACGTGAACGTGAACGTGAACGTGAACGTGAACGTGAACGTGAACGTAAACGTAAACGTAAACGTAAACGTAAACGTAAACGTAAACGTAAACGTAAACGTAAACGTAAACGTAAACGTACACGTACACGTACACGTAAACGTACACGTACACGTAAACGTAAACGTACACGTAAACGTACACGTAAACGTACACGTACACGTAAACGTAAACGTAAACGTTACCTGTAGCTGTAGCTGTAGCTGTAGCTGTAGCTGTACCTGTACCTGTAGCTGTAGCTGTAGCTGTACCTGTACCTGTACCTGTACCTGTACCTTGTACCCTGTACCTGTACCTGTACCTGTGCCTGTACCTGTACCTGTACCTGTACCTGTACCTGTACCTGTACCTGTACCTGTATCTGTACCTGTACCTGTACCTGTACCTGCAGAGTATGTATTGTTTATGACTTAAATCTATACTGGATAAACCGAAACTACTTACTAGTAAATATTAAAAGTGATAATTTCAATATATATATACACTTCTACTAGGTCGATTACCTGCTACACGATTTTGTCAGGAGTGCTAAGTAATAAAGAGGTATGTCAACACATATCGGAGTTTTCACAAGCTTTTATTTAAATCACTTTTTCAGTCTGTCGTCAGTCTGTCGTCAGTCTGTCTGTCTAGTACAAAACGCCCGAGCGAAATTGCAGGCACTTCTAACTGACATTTACGGTTCGTCATCGGTACGTGAGTCAACACATGAAGACAATGCATCTTGACTTAATTGGTCGCCTGATTATTTTTTTATGCATTACTTACACATTTTACCAAATTAGTAGGCAGTCCTATCTAACTACTCCACATGCGTCGTCACGTTCAATAGCGCTCATCACGTTCAATAGGTGCGTAGTGGTTTTTAGTCATGCAATGCTATTGTAAAAAAAACATAAAATTTAAAAAAAAAAACATTTTTTCATAAAAACGTTTTAATAATAACAAGGTTTTATGTAATAATGCACTAAAAATGAGAAAATAAATTATACACTACTATTTAAATACCTTTAAAGAAAAGCGTGGGTCTCTTGCTAAATAAACGTTTTTAGTTATGCAAATCTATTGTTAAAAAATGATTTAAAGTATTAAAAACAGATTCATAAAAAACGATTTAAAAAAAGCTTGTTTATAAAAATGCACTAAAAATTAGAAAACAATTCGACCCAATATTTTCTTTATATTTATTTCAATACAAGTGTATACTTTACTTTCTACTTTTTTGTGCATTATTACATAAAAGCATGTTATTAAAACGTTTTTTTATTCATCATTTTTACTTTCTCGTATACAGAGTACATAAGAAGTATTGTAATCGTGCACAAAAATCACATGAAATTTTGACAGCTTGAAACCTTTTACTTCTTCGTACTTCAACATATACGCAGTATAGAGGACTTATTTTAATCTGGCAAACATTCTAAATGCAGATTGATTTTTCAACATTTTGGCGTTTTATGCGTAATTGAGTCAGAAAAAAACGGGACTTTGCAATTCTGTCCGTGTGTGTGTATGTGTGTGTTTGTGTCTGTAAACACGATAATTTGAGTGCCCTTAGAGCCAGGTTGATGAAATTTTATATAAGTATTATATCAAATTTGTATTTCTGGGACTTATTTTACTTTTAGTTTTTCAAAAGCTTATAACTTTAGTACTGTTTTATATAGATAAACGAAATTTTACATATAGGTAAAAGATCTAACTTTCTGCCTTATTTAAAATTTTGAGTAATATACATTGATAGGAAGTAGTAATAAAAGGCATATACATTTATAAAGTACTAATTATAATCCGCACTATTATACACATATTTTATTTCATTCTCTTGGTGCGCAACTCTTTTTTGCTACGAGATTCTATTCTATTTTTAAAAGTTTAAAAAATTAAAAATAGATTAAAAATCATGTCTATATCGCGATTTTCCATTCCGTTAGTGTTTTTGAGGATATTCTAGAAACATTAGGGGAGATCAATCTTGGTTTATTTAATTCTGATAATCAAAAAATTTATATTTTTTTAAAAACTTATTTCTAAATGTGAAAGAAAAATATTTGATTTAGTTTTATTTGTCCCTATATAGTTACACTAGCCATCGGTACACGTTTCACGTGAATTATAGGCATATATATTTTAAAATGTTGCACTTGTTTGAGAAAAATAATTTATGAAATAGTTATTGGTCAAAACGCAATGTGCTTTACTACACGCTGAACGATATTAGTGACAAAGCAAAGAAATAACTAATTAGCTAAAAATCTGACACATTTAACATAACACAGGCACACACTGATTAACTGACTTAAATAATTCCATTAAAAATCTGGCATTTCAATGGTCATTATGTTGTTTTTAAATAATTTGTATTAGTTCGACCGATAAAATTGTATATATTTCAAAGCGTACGTCTTGATGAGTGGATCTATAGATCTAGATCTAAATCAAATTTGAATGAAGTGGTTCTTTTTTTAATAGTTTAAAATCCCAAGATTCACATATAAAAACAATAAAAAATGAAGTTTAACTTGGTGTGTCTCAATCCCGCACCACCTGCAAGGTATTATGAACACTGTCATATCAACTATTTAGGCACCTTATAAAATATGGAGAATGAAAGAAGTATTTAAAAAGCATAACTTACGCGAATATGCCTATTCTTTCAAATTAAACTTTTTATCTCAAATTAGCTAGTTCCATAGCTAAACAAACAAAGATTTCTATAAAATAATTAAGGCCTGAAATAGTTTAATATAGAAATGTATTTTTGGAATAGATTCTAGAGTACATAGAGTCTAAATCTTTGCTTCTACGTCTAGTTTTTGCGTAGATTTAGATCTAATCTAGATCTAGAATCTCTAGATCTAGAATCCAAAAAGATAAAATAAATTTTATAATTTTAGGTCGGAAAAATTGTGTTGTATATATTTCATAGCGTACGTAGATCTGAATCAAATTTGAATGAAATAGTTCATTTCTTTGTATTTTAAGCTCGGCAGATGACGTCATTAGTTAATGTATAAACATTAGTGACGTCATTGTTTCATGGGTTCCTTTTCACACTTATAAAAACTTTTCTTGTTGCATAAGTAAAACTGCGTTTCTACATTCGAATATGCCTTTTTTTTTGTTCTTTAAATAAAATATTGGTTATACATTTAAAACATCTACCATATTATTTTCAACAAAAAGTCCGTATCAAGTTCTCCTTATATCGCTGAAGATTCTGATGTGATACCCTGCGAAAATATTTTGAGGACAGAGAGACAGAGAGAGAGAGAGAGAAGTGCGCACATGGGCTTTTATATAATAGGATAAATACAACATGCAACAATCAACATAAAACAAAATTAAGCTGTATGATTCGTTAATATATACATATTTGATTTAAATTTTAATTTATCTATGCATACAGTGCATTAAAGAAATATCTTTTTTTTTGATATTGCAGAAAAAAGTTTACGACAAGATTCTTTCAAAGATATTGCATGAACTTCCATTGATGAATAAATTTGATGCAATACAGTTTTTTACATATCAAAAATGCATATTGAATATATGTTCAGCAATAAGCAAAGAGGCGAAAAAAGATTTTTTTCTAAAACTTAGTCAAACTAGCTATGCAGGTATCTAAACTAATATAAACTAATATGTTGACTGGAAATATAATGTAGGACAAAATTGGTTTTCGTTTATTTAAAATGCAATAATACCACGTATATTATGCTAATTATTAAGTGGTATTTAGATCATTTTTAAAATAACTATTTTTTAAACTAATTTTAAATTAAGAAGATACCAATTCAAATTATCTTTATAAACTATACAAAAATAATACAAGTTTCATTCTAACTTTAAAATAATAAATTGTTTTTTTTTAATTTAAATAAAATCACTTTACATACATTATTAGTTGTTTTATTTTAGAATTTGTGATATCTTTAATTTTAATACAATATATAGACATCATATGTGTATTACAACAATAAATCGTGATTTTTTTTATTATGCTCGTAATATATGGCGTAAATTATAATTATATTTTTATTACAGATGTGACTATAACACTTTTAACTGAGGAAAATCTTCTTAATATAGAATCACCCAATTTTTCACTACTCTTGATTACCGATATGTTATATATATTGTGTTTTGGAAGCTACTATTGCCAAACATTTGCTCTGGTAACTATTATTTTAGTTTCTAAATAAATGTAATTGATATAAACATAAATGTAAATTATATAAATATATATCTCTATAAAATAAAATATATTTTTACCTATATTTCTAAGATAGTCTTTATTTTTTCCTAGCTGTTGGTTGAAAAGAATATTATCAAAATATGTATGGACTTTCTTATCAAACATAATGATGGCAAGGTACTGAAAAGAATTTTAAATACAGTTTCTAAAATCACGCTTAGTTTGTTTTACAACACTACATCTATAAATAATAAAATGCGCTAATGCTATTCACATTGTTTTGAAAATTTACAATGTTTTAACTCATACAAAATTATAAAATTGAAAAAAAAAAACGTTGTATTGTGTTTATTATTAAAAATATATAAACATGAAATGACCCAATTCAATAAAACATGTAAATTATACATTGCTGCATATCCTCTCGATACTAACTTATTAATACTTTTTTTCTATAATATAACACTTATTAGATCTGCATTTAAGTACCCAACATAATAATATATATATGATAATATGTATTTAATTTATCTATCCCCTACATGACTCTTAAACTTATTAGCTATATGTTATTAATAAGTAACTTATAAGCATCTCATTGATTAATTGCAGAATACACAATTCAGATGGATAAAAAGTAGATTGGTTTTGATTATGTACCACTATGTAATTAAAGATGGCGAAAAGAAGTATTTCTTAAATTACAACATGACAGTAAGTATATTATAGTTACTATTAAACGTTTCATATCAATCGATATAAATGGTATTTTAAACAATATCATAATGTATACGTCGTGTGCAGGAAAGGAAATCGCAATAATTTAGAATGACGTTCAATACAAATGACGAAATTAGAAAATGTGTATCATGCAGTTTGATCCATGTTTGAAGAAAGTAGCTAAAAGTATCATTTACTTTATACTAGGTATTATTTTTCAAAGTTTCGTAATATAAATATAATGCATACAATCTTACCATATGTGTATTGCTTTATTTTTAAATAGCAACTCAGTATTTTAATAATAATGTCCTTAACGTAAGTTAGGTACCTGTCGGAGCTGATTGGACTCAGGGATTTGCTCGAGTCATGTATTATCTCGAGAATAAATGACCAGCAGTTGACAGTTGTACCATATGACCACACCGTCTTATAAAAATGCGATAAAGCCAGATACCATAAATTTATTTGGGTGTATAGCACTTTTGAATTGACAATTTAAATAATGTAATTACGCTATTAGTATTTTTATAACGCAATGTGTAACCAGATCTTATTATCTGTACAGTAAACAAAACAAAGAATTTTTGTTTCTTCTTGTATTAGACACTAAATTGACTGTTCATATGTCAAAGCTATTATTATTATTTAATGCATTAACTATATTGAAACTTAACCATATATTTAATGCCTTCATCAGGAATTTTCAAAAATAGAATTCAGCGAGCTTCAAATAAATATTGCTTCAAAACTTATGTGTTTGTTGATAAAAGAAAAGACACCTACAGAAACAGAAATTACAAGTAAATCTATATTTGACTAAAATAATAATAATAATTAAGATAATTTAATTTGAAAGTCTCAAATATCTATATTGATCATATAAATATATCACACCACAATCCATTACGACCAATACATTACATTCAATTGAATTGTTTATTATAGTTTACGGCCATTTCAGACTATCACGATTTTGCACTACACTAAACCTTTAAAATATAATTATTCACATTTTCATTAGTAAATAAAATTAAATAAAACACGTTATCTATTAAACATATGTTTTTTTATGCTTTTACGTATTTTGAATTTTTGCTAAATAAAAGCTAGCAATTTTTTTATCAAACTTTCATTTAATTATAAATGATTATCATTTATAATTTACGCTATTTTTATTATTTGTTAATTAAATTTTTTTCTTATGGTTTTGTTTTTATTACACAAAACATGACGTTAAGTCAATTTGAGATTAGTCAAGTAGGATTTTTTCTTGATGCATAGACAGAATACTATATTTTACAGTTTGAAGTAGAGTGCATGGATTTTCAATATGGATCTTTTCCAAATCAGATTATCAAGTGTCTCTTTTTCTCCAAAAACAGAAAAAAATATTTCAATCTACACTAACATTCTAGTTTATTGTTATATTGATTTTACAGGAAAACTCATAAACTCACTAAAGGAAGATATTGAAAAAGCTGTTAATGATTATGATACATTTATCTCTGGAATGGAGTTATCGGCAGTGCTTGAAGGTCTTGCAAGATATGCAGAGTATGGAGATGAATTAAATGAGGTTAAATCTAATAATTTCTATTATGTATAAGCTATTTTGAAATCTACAAATGTCAATTATGTATGTGTTACTTTTAAGAATTAGAATGATTAAACGAATCAATTTTAAATTATAAAAATATTTTCCACTCTTAAAAGGGTAAATTAACATTTTAATTGTTATTTAGTTGGCTTACGTGCCTTAATAAAATTCTATAATATATGTTTCTTAATTGTTGTGTTTTTTTAAGCAGCATAACTTTTACAAAAAAAAATCGTTTTTATTATTCACAATCAACAGATTCTTCCACTTTTGCCAAAATTTAAAGAATTTCTTGCACACGGTAACCTTGAGGATCAAGTTTGTACAGCTAAGTGTTTAAAAGAGTTGGGGAGAAACATAGAAGCTGGAACAGAAATTTTAAACGACCCGGATATGTACAACCAGCTACAAGAACTGAGCAAAAGTACAAATTTAGACATAGCATACAATATAAAATCTACTTTGTGGAGGTCTGGAAGAACATCCGGAATATTGCCATTTAAAGCAGGTTTGAATCATGTATAGTTCTAAGATATTAACATTGTATACCATGGTTTCATAGCAACAAAAACACCAAAGTTAAAATATACATTATTATTTCAATGGTTAGGTGCTTTTAGTTTTAAATTGTTGTTTTTTAATGCAATCTTTACGTCTAATATAATGTTTAATTCTATAAACCTTTGACTATAGACGAGTTATATTCTGACGAGTTCCCAAAGGATTTTAAGATAGAAACTAAAGCGGTAGCCTGCGGTGGCTTTGGCAGTGTTCATCATGTCATCGATAAGGATCAACCGGAAGCCAAAAAGTTTGTTGCGAAGAAAATCTTTTCAAAACTCAGTGACGTTAGCTTATGGGAGGTAAGTAAACATGTTTCTCAGGTTGTTAGATGGATGATATTCTTTTGTATTCAAATTTCCCTTATACATTTAACTTTCTTTTTCATGATGCATTATATTAAATCACGAAGTGTATGCATGTAACATAATACATTTTTTTTTTAAATCACATGTTAACACTAACAGCACGTATGCGAATGCAAATAAGTAATTCACAGTTACTGTTTTAAAAAAGTTTATACAATTAATTGCTATTTTTAAACGGTTTTAAAAACACAAAATTTGACACTATTTGTTCTTTAATTGTCAATGTTATCTGGGGCTCATATTACTAAATATTTACCCAAATTTGCATAACACATTACTGTAATGAGATTAAAATGATTTAAGTGTGTAGTGGTTGATATGAGAATGATGAATAGTATACATTGCAAAGTTGTATATATTATTTAAATAAGATATCTGAATCTTATATTTACTTTTCAAAATATCAGACATTTTAAAAATTATATATGTATGAATATATATATATATATATATATATATATATATATATATATATATATATATATATATATATATATATATATATATATATATATGAGTGTGTGTGAATGTGTGTGTGTATGTTATAGACAGTCATCACTTGAGTTAAAAAAATCATATTTTAAGTGTTTGATGATGAACTTGCAGGGAAGTTTTAAGAGGGAGGCCTCAGTTTTAATCAAACTGAAACACACAAGGATTGTCCAGTTTCATGGTTTTCTGAAGAATATAAAAGAAAATATTCTGTTTCTTGAATTTATTGAAATGGTAAATTTTACTTTATTATCCATATTTCTTAATGTAATGAGAATGTTACACAATTTTACACTAAAGAATAACTGTGAATATTCCATACACTCCGGTTTTTTTTCCAATTTTATTAAAAGAAATTCCTATCTTCCAGATTTTCATAACCTTAAGTTATAGATTCGATTGATTATGTGAAATTTATTTCGTATATTCTTTCGTGTTGTATAATGCATCAAATGTTAACGAATAATCAGCGTACTTCCTAGCTCAGAGGCTTAAGAGATGTTAGGTGACTAAAGTAATTAATAGCTCCATTGATTGTGATATGAAAAAGATTGCAAAGTGGACGTGTTAAGCTTATATTGTAATGTCGTTACCTTCAGGGTACACTGACGGCATTTATAGAAAGACACAAACGACTCAAGGAAGATTTGACAAGACAGTTTGCAAAACAAATTTTAGAAGGTGTACAATACCTGCATGACAATAATATATTACATTTGGATATTAAAGGTACTTTGTAAAATATTACAAATTCTTATAAATGTCCGAAATATTTATTTATTATTATCATTTTAGTCATTAAAATATAATCGAATATAAATTATAAAATAATAATTTAAAATTTATTTTATTTTCCAAAGGTAATAATATATTAATGGTGGATGAATCAAACATAAAACTAACAGACTTTGGATTGTCAACAATTGTTGATAACTATGATGGTGTTAAATCAAAAAGGGGCACAACTAGATTTATGGCTCCAGAAATGATGGTCTGCCCTAAGGGAAACACATTCAAGTATCACACAAGCCTGGACATTTGGTAAAAATAATGGTTTATTAGTTTTTTAAACATATCACTTTAATACCACATTAAATTGAAATTTAAACAATAAAACAGTTAATACTTAACAATAACTGATCGTTTACTAGTAGTAAAGAAATAAAAAAGCTTGCTATTTCACGCGTTTAAAGTAAGGTATATTAGAATACAAAGAGATAAACAAAAATATTAAAAATGTTATTATTTTACAATAATGATATTGCAAAGTCTGGTAGTTAAATATACTAGATTGTTCCTAAAATAGTTTTTTAAAAAATTGAAAGAGGCACTATAAGTATTTAGTAACTGCAGCGATATGTTGATTAGATTAATTTAAGCAAAAAAGGTAAATGAATAATTGGACACTAAGCAGAAATATAATTTAATATAATTTAATTTCATTACGAGTTTCATTTCGGTATATCTACTTACATTTAACACTCCTGCAAATTATTATTCACGTACATTTATTATTTAATTAGTACTAAATTCATTTAAGCAACAGTAGCAACATTAAAGCAGTAAAACTCAACTTCATATTGCTTATTATTACCCATTGTGTCTTTAGTGTATAGCCTTTTTAAAAACGAACATTGGCATTGGGTCACTGGTATGCCTGCAGCTGCGTCTTTTGTAGTTTTACCGATGAATGTAGTTTTACTCATTACCCGCTACGCAGGACGCCCATTTAACGGATACCATTTGCTAAAATAGCCGCTCTGGAACTCTGGGCGCCAAACCCGTTTTGACAAAATCGCACATTCCGGGTGCCGCTCATAAGAATTGTCTTCCTCTTAGAATCCTTCTCGGTAGTATTTTTAGCAACTCCCCATAGTATCATGGCATTGGATGAACAGTGTCAAACTGCCTCCGACTGTTACTGTTTATATAGCGTATACATAGAAAAATCGCGTCACCTCCACAGGATAATTTTTAACAACTTTCAAACCTTTCATAGTGATTGGATAAAAGAAGTGTTATTGCGTAAAAGAGTAAAAAACGCCCAACCCCCCCCCCCCCTTTACACAATTTATATATATATATATATATATATATATATATATATATATATATATATATATATATATATATATATATATATATATATATATATAATGTGTAATGCATGATATATCTGCTGACACCTACCACTCCTATATAATATAGTTGAATGAAACACATTTAATAACACAATACAGCTGCAAAAGTTTCTATTTTTACAGGAGTGTTGGTTGTACTGTTGTTGAAATGTTGACCGGTAAACCGCCACACAATTCTTTGATAACACCACAGATATTTTATAGAACTTATATAGGAGAACCTCCAAGATACCAGCTACCAGAAACATCATCATGTGCATGCAGAAACTTTCTAGATAAGATTTTTGAAAGAAATGCTGAAATGAGGCCAACGGCTAACTGGTTACTTAAAAAGGACCCGTTTATTATCTAGATGACGTCATTTAGAACCAGTTGTTTGTGATTTAAAAAAAAAACGAAGATGTATTGCTTACTTTAAAGCCATTTTAGACATCATTATACTCCATCATTATTTTGTAATTTAATTGTCTATGTACGTATGTATATTCATTTACATGGGACGGCGGGGCCTTGCGGTAGAGTCCACACAGCTCTAATGGGTACAAAACCTTAATTTATGGACATTAACGCTATCCTTTCCTATGCCGATGTCTCTGATACAGATTAACTCTACTTCATCTGCCCCATTAGTCTTAGGCACGAACGGGAAATTATGATGGTGATGATGTTCATATACACTTACGTTAAAATAAATGTGTATATAATATTAGGCCGAAGACATGTTAATAAAACCATACCGATAATCGTGCAATTTTGTGATGCGACTCAAACTATGAAGTTGTTAATATTATTTTACAGAAACGAAAAACCTAATATTGATTCTTTAGTCACAAATAAATACTCAATTAATGTAAACAGAAAGGGCTCGCTTTAGTCGTTTAGGCTCACTAGACAACTTGTTAGCTTCTAAAGGTTACCAGATGTATGTTATTTTTTTTTTAAGTAAGAGAAAATATAGTAATTCGTTCAACAATATTAGTTACTTGAAGATAGCAAGTGCTTAAATAATCATTTTATTGTATTTTTTTCATTTCGTTAAATTTATGTATAACTGATAACATTTTGACCAAGTGTAGACCTATGTATTTAAAAACGCGTGAAGAAAATTAAATATTGTTTCTTATTTAGCATCTATAAATGTTGATACTCCAAGAAAATAAAATATATCACATTTTAAAAACCAAAAAACTATTGTATGTTTGAAAACATTTAGTTTAAAAGTGCAGCGAACATTTAAATGACGAAAACATTTTAATTGATTGTATCTATCATTATACCATGCCTAAAATTACATTGTGTATTTCTTTGTCGTTTTCACTTTACTTTTTAGACTATTACATTAATGCATTTTTTAATCTAATATACATTTTTATAGAATTTTTTCTAATTGCACTATCTATTACATTATTTCATTATGATTTCTGAAAAGAAAATTCGGTTTGCCTTTTATTTTCTGGTATATATTTACGTGTAAATTTTTCCGTAAAATCAACAACAACTTTTTAATATATGTCTCATTTTATTTCAACGTTGTAAAATATCTTTTGCCAGTTTTTTTGTCGTCAAATTTACACTAAATTACACTCGGCGTGGTCGAGTCGGTAAACCGAAAAGTCTCGAGTTCGAACCCTCGGGCAGATGAGGCTCGTTAGCTGGGGACAGCCACTCTTCTAGGAGAGACAACTCCAAAATTAAACAACTGCTACCTTGTAGTTTGTTCTTGGTTGGAAAAAGGCTATGGAAGTAAATCCAAAAAGAAAAGCAGGCTGAAATCGGAGCCAATGGCCTCAATGGCGCATAACAAGTGGACACGTAAACGCTTAATTGTGTCGGAGGCGTGGTCGAGTCGGCAAAAAGCTCATGGTTGATAAATTCGAACAATAGAGTTCAAACCCACTGGCAGATAAATCTTGATCCCCTTCAACACTAATAATTAAGAACGAAGAAGAAGAGAAGAAGAGACACTAAATATGTATTGATTAGTACAAATGAGATGGTCCCATTTTTATTGCAACAATATTATTGTAAATGTATTAAAAACAATATATGCAGAAACAACAAGCAAATGCTATTCAACTTTAACAATTGATGGATTAAATATTTATTCCCTAGACAAATAAATATGTACAGTTTTCTGAATGTGGTAACTGGGTGTCTTATTTGAAGGTGTTATTATCCTAATTTTTTACCGGAGAGTTAAATGCAATAAACGAATGTTAAATATCAATTAATAACAATGTAGGCGCAAATGAATCCACCCAGTTTTCTGGGTATTCAAATCAAGCTGTGGAATCTGCAAGCGGCTTGGCCTTTTGCTGAACACTTTATCTCATCTTTCGCAGAGGTCACAGAGAAAAGTTAGCTCAACTTAACATGCTCATGTGAATGATGTGAAAAATATACAAGACACACTTCAAGCAAACGTAAAAGAAGCAAATTAGTTGGTAACTTTAAAGATTAATAGTTGTAATACGTGACATGCATGTAGACAAATTATTATAACTCATATACCCTTATTTTCAAATGTATGACAAAAATAAATTTAGTTGCATCAGTAATTTTTATTTTATATTATTTATGGGCAGTAAGCCCCGCCATTTGTTGTATTACATTATATATTTTTTATTAATAGTGAAGTGTATAAAATTATATTCATTTTGTAGTGTTTCATTTTTACAAATATTAGCCCTAAACGATTATTTGTTTTTCGTTGGCCTGTACTCATAAAACCATGATACACCCAGGAGAATAACTGAATAAATGTGTCTTGATTTTTGTAAATTTAATTCTTTTGTTTGGTGACTATATTTTATCATAGGTGTTTTTGTAAGTGTAGCTGTAAGCGTGCTAGTTGCTAGTTAGTTTTTTGAATATTTTTAGGCACTGTCGTTGTTTTAACTGTAGTTTTCGTACGTACAGTCAATGTTGGGGAGATTGTTGATGTTGTGTATACTGTAGTTGCTTTAGGTTGGTTTGTTGGTACAGTGTAGTTGCATGTTTTACAACATAGACGTTTCTCCTCATGATAGGCATAATGGCACATTGCTGCGGCACATTTTCTGTACCTATCTCCATACTCACAACCTAGGTAGAAAAAAAGATACAAAAAACATATTTAATTATTTTTTAAATCATGTATAATTATTACTGTCTAGTGAATTTATTTACTGACAACATAATGGCTACACAGCAGCACTAATGCAATTATGATTTGTCTCATTAGGTAGACAATGTTACAAATAACATTTAAATTTTGAAAACAAAAATTAATTACTGGTTAGGTAAATTATAATAATAATTATTAATACAATCGGCCCAATGAGGCCACACGACAATGCAATTATTATCTGTATCATTAGAGTCTTCTGAATAACGAGTCAAAAATACGATTATATTTTTAGTATAGGCATAGTAATTTCATGTGACCAATATAATTCAATATAACTAAATCGATTTAATTAGTTGTTAATAAATAGCCTTTATTATTAAACTATAGCATTTACCCTTTTTCTTCATGTAAACTTTTTTGCATGATGCGCAGCAGTTTTTGTAGTATTTGGTATTGTAGCACCACCCAGGGAAGGCTTGAATTATGGAAGAACACGAGATATGTTCAAATTCTCCTCCGGTTTCATCTCCATATACACAGTCATCTAAACGGGTAATAAGAAGTCAACTTTTTATTGACATAAATGTGGGAAAACAAGTAACTCTAAATTCTTAATTTAATCCTTTTTTAACGCACACAAGACTGCGATAAACATTTTAATTCATAAAAAAACAATTGAATAGACCAAAAGAGTTTAACTTGTTATTTTAACGTACCATCCACTTTAGGAGCAGTGGCATCATTTCTACAGCCTCCATCCTTGCATAGCTGTTGATAATAAACAAGGCATTTCTATTTGTATGTTGTGTTTATGGTCTAGCGGTAGAAAGATAGACTGCTAACTCAACTCAGGGAAACAAAGGCGGCTGGGCAAGTTGCTGACCACACTATCTCTTCATCAACTTAAGTTGTCTGAAGCAGATCAACTTTACTTCATGTAAATGATATGATGATGTAACGTTTACATTTACGTTATGTTTCGTCGGTGATACATGGCAAATGATCTCAGGACAAATGATCTCAGACGACATATCTCAGACAAAATGATCTCCCTTGCATGAACTACTACATACCTTGCCGTTAATCACCTGGCATGACCTACTACATACCTTGCCGTTATTCACCTGGCATGTCCTACTACATACCTTGCCGTTAATTACCTGACATGACCTACTACATACCTTGCCGTTAATCACCTGACATGACCTACTACATACCTTGCCGTAAATCACCTGGCATGACCTACTACATACCTTGCCGTTAATCACCTGGCATGACCTACTACATACCTTGCCATTAATCACCTGACATGACCTACTACATACCTTGCCGTTAATCACCTGACATGACCTACTACATACCTTGCTGTTAATCACGTGACATGACCTACTACATACCTTGCCGTTAATCACCTGGCATGAACTACTACATACCTTGCCGTTAATCACCTGACATGACCTACTACATACCTTGCCGTTAATCACCTGAAATGACCTACTACATACCTTGCCGTTAATCATCTGACATGACCTACTACATACCTTGCCGTTAATCACCTGACATGACCTACTACATACCTTGCCGTTAATCACCTGACATGACCTACTACATACCTTGCCGTTAATCACCTGACATGACCTACTACATATCTTGCCGTTAACCACCTGGTATGACCTACTACATACCTTGCCGTTAATCACCTGGCATGACCTACTACATACCTTACCGTTAATCACCTGGTATGACTTACTACATACCTTGCCATTAATCACCTGACATGACCTACTACATACCTTACCGTTAATCACCTGGTATGACTTACTACATACCTTGCCATTAATCACCTGACATGACCTACTACATACCTTACCGTTAATCACCTGGCATGACCTACTACATACCTTGCCGTTAATCACCTGACATGACCTACTACATACCTTGCCGTTAATCACCTGACATGACCTACTACATATCTTGCCGTTAACCACCTGGTATGACCTACTACATACCTTGCCGTTAATCACCTGGTATGACCTACTACATACCTTGCCGTTAATCACCTGGCATGACCTACTACATACCTTACCGTTAATCACCTGGTATGACTTACTACATACCTTGCCATTAATCACCTGACATGACCTACTACATACCTTACCGTTAATCACCTGGTATGACTTACTACATACCTTGCCATTAATCACCTGACATGACCTACTACATACCTTACCGTTAATCACCTGGTATGACTTACTACATACCTTGCCATTAATCACCTGGCATGACCTACTACATACCTTGCCGTTAATCACCTGGCATGACCTACTACATACCTTGCCATTAATTACCTGACATGACCTACTACATACCTTGCCATTACTCACCTGACATGACCTACTACATACCTTGCCGTTAGTCACCTGGCATGACCTACTACATACCTTGCCGTCCATGCAACTCGTCCCCTCCAACGCTCCAGCAGAGCTGCACCGTTGTGATGTAGTATTGTAGCATCTCATCTGTCTACAGTAGTGTTTGTATTTATTTTGCTGAAAATATATGCATAGATTTTAAATTAATTTAAATTAAGGCGAGTGTCATAGAAAATACGATTGCCTAAATTATATTTTAAAAAATCTAATGTTGTTTTGAAAAACATAGCTTGAGTATAGTTCGCTTTAAAAAATACAGGAAACAATATCATACATAATGTAAATTCCTTAAAAACATCAAAATAGATTACACTTACCTTAAAGGTATGTCATTAATAAAAAACAGGACAAAGACAAAATGTAAAATTAAAAAAGAAAAACACGTGTCCATAAATGATTGTACTTAAAATGCTAAAAAACATGAAACACAATTAGTTTAGCTTCCTAAAAACAAATTGCTAAAAATATCTGCTCACCCTACAATCAAATGAACCATCACCAAATTTTAACACACACTGTTCGGTCGGGGTATACATCTGGCCGGGTAATTGTCCTGTGGTCAGCGTTGTCGTTAAACATTTTGTTCCACTCCTATAGACAAGCATATATTTAGGCAGTAAACAGCAGGGGGGGGGGGGGGGGGGGGGGGCTTTTGTTTTTTCGGTATAATAATAATATTTAACGATTATTGTTTCTTTGCTTTTTTAACTGTTACCACCACACACGTTATATATATATATATATATATATATATATATATATATATATATATATATATATATATATATATATATATATATATATATATATATATATATATATATATACAATTCTCTTCGTAGACACCACGACGCAAGCCGACTGTCTAACCTTCCTCCCCCCCCCCTCGCTCTCCATCCTGGTGAGCTGTGGCCAACGCCGAATGTTTATAAGCCGTGTCGATTTAGTGACGGCTATTAGGGACAGACAATTTAGATTTCAAACGATTTGAAAGGAGTGGTAACTAAGGGGAGGCTACTTTCACGGGAGGAGGGGGAGGGGGTGTTAGGGTGGAGAAGAAAGGGGGAGATATTCGTCCTTTACGAGTTACTGATGGTGTTTTAAAGCAAATATTTTCAGTCGCAGCATTTGTAGTGTAAAATTCACAAAATATGAATTACTGTAAAATGGAAAATATAACACCTAATTCGTTTAATTAATTTCTAGTAATAAAACCGAAACACATACAGATTACCTAGTACATTTTCGTATTTGTTCGATTTTGCACATAAAAAGTTACTAAAATACCTTTTTAAACATTGCGGTCCAAGTATAAGGTGGAGTAGAAGGAATGTTATGGTTAGCAGTATGCGTGTCTACATTTACTTTCCCTTAGATACACATCATACCTGGGTGGACTTATGTTATGTTTTACGTACTTGAGCCCGTGATCCGAACTCAAGGTCATAAGATTAGCAGTCGAACTCTCTACGGTTTAACCACACCGACTCACATAAAATGCTACCTCAACATTGTCTTACTCAGTATTTAGAAGTGCGTTTACATAAGCCGTGAGGTAGTTGATGCTACAGTTTGAGAACCTCAAGGACACAACATATGTATTATTGACTGACGGTTCCATAAGGTAGCCGTCGTCGACGGAGCAGTTGTTGTCGTCTCCATCATGGTCAACCCCCAAACTGTTGAGCAATATATATATATATATATATATATATATATATATATATATATATATATATATATATATATATATATATATATATATATATATATACTCTTTTAGTCGTAATGATCCTTACGGCAGTTGAAGTGGAGTTCATATGATTTGATATCTTTGTATATGAAGGAATTATGTAGTTATGGTGTGCCAAACAGCCTCTGCTTTCTCTAAAATTAGTCGTGTACCCATTAGAGCTAGATTAACTTCGAGGTATGGACCTTGATGCGAACTCCAGAACTTTAGGCGAGCAGCCGAACGTTTTAGCATTCGACAACACTACCCTCTTAATCCCCCCCCCCCCCCCATCCCACGCAATTAGAATATGAAAAAAAGTTAGTTATCGTTTTTCTCTGTATTTGCTGTGTCTGCATATTCAGCGTGGGGAGAAGGTTTAAAGAAGGCCAAAGCCCTACATTTTATGAATATCCACTTCAATTTATCGATAGAATTAGACATATATTTGCAAGAGAGCACACACAATAAAATAGACAGTAATTCTCCATTCAATAAATTGTTCTATAAGTATTTGTTTAGCTTAAACACCCCATTTACCTTTAAAACCAAATACAAAGTATTTTTCACAACATTTTGATTTTGAAGGGAGTATATTTATCAATAAAATAACATAGGTCTTCAGTCCTCAGAAACGGGATATACACAGTATAAATAATGTAAAACGTAGCATTCCCTTCTATGATTTTAACGAACCATAAGACTGAGTTCATAATCTGTAGTCCTCGGCATTTCAACGCCTATTGTGGTAATCACCTTTCACATCCGCCTTTACTTTTCCCAACGTAATACAGGTACCAATTAGAGCTGTGTGGACTCACATACGTCATGCTGTCCCAAGTCCGGACAAAGACCTAAACTCAAGACCCGTTAGATCTAGCTATGAAATGCTCTACCGTTCGACCACGCCGCCCCATCATCCAATCATCTTTTCCCAGACACATGGGACAGATGAAGTAGAGTTAATCTGCTTCAGACACATTGGTAGATGAAGGGATAGTGTGTTCAACACATAACCCAGCCGCCTATACTTTCGTTACTTGAGTTATGTACCAATCAAAGCTGGGTCGACCCAGGTACGTTCAACTAACTTGTATGTAAATCTATCATTCGACCACTGCATCCCCATAGCCAGTATACAATCAAACAAAAAAGGCCACCAACCTATGAGCCAGTTCGTGTGCAGCAATCTCGCTTCTAGAAGTATAATCTCCTCCGTCGTTAATTATTGAAGCACTCTGCTTAACATTTCTGCATGTGGCGCCATATATGCCAAATCCTTAAACAAATACCTACACATGTAATGTACTGTTTATATTTAGTAAGAGCAGAGCTGTTTTCCTTTACCGTGATTAATAAACACTTGTGAAAATACATTCACCTAATAAAAATGCTTAGTGTCTTAAATGCACATTAAAGTATTAGAAAAGGTAAGACATTTTTTTTGTAATGCGCGATTGCGAAAAAAAAACCCCAACCTAAGAAAATGCACTATGCGATATTTATTCAACATTTTTTTTTTTTAATTTTAATGCTAAAACTACCAATGATGTAGAATCCCCTAAAAGAAAATACTAGATATTTATTTATGCGTAATATGTTATTGTAAAAGCAGAAACATTAGCTTAAAATCAAAGCTATAAAGGCGTTTGTCAAACAATTTACTCCTCTAACCTAGATGTAACACAATAAATTACTAATTCATTTAACCATTATTTATGATATGCAATACTATTTCTTAGAATAAAAAATATGCAACAAAGCATAATGAATTAAAAACAAGTTAATTAAAAAGTCTAGTGACATTTAAGCGCAATTTCCTTATGTTATCTAAAAATAGCTCTGTCGTAGCGTAAATCAAGAGCAGGGTTAGTAAAACCATTGGTTAGTTATTAAAACGTTTTTTATTATTTTTTTTCAGTATTTTACATGTTTTATTTACAATAGAGTTACATGACTAAAACCATTGCGCGCCTAGCTACCGAACGTGATGTCGCAGCCATTGAACGTGATGGCGCAGCTATTGAAAGTGATGACGCGTGTGGTGTGGTTGGATAAAAATGCCTACTAATTCGGTCCAAACTTTAATTAATTCAAAAAATTTTTTGTGACCGAACGAAAGGATATTTTTGAAAACTTTCTTCGGCAATATTTTTCTATATTATGGCAGGAATCGATTGGTACATGTTTCAAGTCGCTAAGTGGTCAGGTTGCCGAGATATGGGCCAAAAACTGCATTTTTTGAGGTTTTTTTGCTTTTCCGGGAAATCCACGAAAGAAACCCGGAATTTTTTTGGCCTATGTTCATCCTCGTAACTTGCTTAACATAATTACTTTGGCACTAGTCCTCGATATTGCTTCGTTGAGGAGGAGATACGACTTAAACCTGCGGTAATGCTGCGGACACACATCAATCCATCCATTCATTCATTCATTCATACATCCAGAAATGACGAGTTAATAAACGCAATTCTCCAGAATGGAAATTGCGCTAAAAAAAACCGGTATTATAATTCTTACAGCTTATATAGTAGATCAAATATCACACACTCACACACATTCACACACATACATATATATATATATATATATATATATATATATATATGAGAAAACAATATTTGAAAATTGTTTATTGATGTTTTTTAATGCATTATTTATATAAAACCTTTATTTATTAAAAAATTTTTTATATATATAATTGGGGGAATATAAGCCTGAATATCATATTTAAAATAGTTGAGGATGATTATTAAGAATAAAATGATATTATACTTTAAAATAAATCCTACCCTCAAGATGGTCTCCAGTTTTTGAGTGCATTATCTCGTAACTAAGGGAGACAATAATGGTTTTGATTTTAAACATTCTCATTCAGAAACTTATAGACATTTTCAAACTTGTATATAACTTACAAAAAAAATATATTAATATATTTTATTGACTTTTAGAGACTAGAATTTTTATAACACTTTTAAAATATTATTTATGTACTTCTTTCACGTCCTAAATTTTGAAACGTAGAATATTCTCTTTCACAAGTTGAATTTTTTAATGAATACAGACATATCCATCCCCTGTATTTTATATTAGCACAACACATACGCCGATATATATTGAATAATATATTTTGTTACCCAGTAAAGACCATCACGTGATCAAAAGGAGCGAGATGTTTCCATCCATGGTCTTCAATGAACTGAATCAACAAAAAACTTGCTGGTCGCAGGTCAACATGACCGCTCGCCAGTTTTGCCAAGTCGCCGGTAAAGAATGAGACTTCTGCATTCTATCAGATATTTGAAAATGTAAAATGATACATTATTGAAGCAAATATAACATTGGGACGTCGTGGATTTAATCGGTAGACCGCTAGTGTGGTAACCCGAAAGTCGCAAGTTTAAATCCGGGTGCAAGTCAGAATAATGACACTTTTTTGACTTATTTTCTTTTAACACAAAATTAAGCCGTTGCTTAGTTAACCCATCCCGTATACAACCATTGCTTTCTTAAAGTGCTGTTATTATGTTGTTTTTCTATCTTTTTTAACACAAAATTAAACCGTTGCTTAGTTTACCCACCCCGTATACAACCATTGCTTTCTTAAAGTGCTGTTATTATGTTGTTTTTCTATCTTTTTTTTATATAAACGGCCAATGTGAAAAATGCCTCCGTTCCTACTGTTGTGGCCGTTATTGAATAAATTGATTACAAAATAAATGTATAATAAAACGTTTGCTGAATTATCGTAAAAACCTAAATGAAACATTATAATTAAACTGTACTAGAATAGTGTTAAAAATAGGCTTACATCCCGCATTCATAATTATTTCTTAGTGGAATAAACGATGCATTAGGAATCGATCTTAAATCTTCATTGTACTATTATGATGTAATAATAATACCACGTGCGTATTACAAACACATCGCTAAATTTTAGTAAATTAATTGAGTCATCAAATGAATATTTAAAATGCATGTATTTATAGTGAAGCAAAAAAAATTGGTAAAATAAATTCATCTTTATAAATTATCAAATTAATCATACTAACCAGAACTGAAAAATACACTCAAGATTATCCTTGCAGCAATGAATTGTGTACTACAGTGGAGTAAACACAACCATATTATATCACATTATATCATGTTCTTTTATAAGTCTAGAAATACAAAATACCTCGCAGATGATGATTTTAGCCAGTCGGATATTCAGCTTGAACGATGTCGACGTTATGGCCTGGTAAGGAAGATTCATCTAAAAGAAAAAAATACACAATCTGTGTCATTCTAGTGGGTATTATTTCATTCCTTTCTATTTTATAGTTTCCATTATTTGGTGGGTTTTTTTTGCATGGAATTAAAGATTTAGATTTTACAAATGTATTGAACGCGTCTTACCCTATGGAAAATATAAGCGTAATGCTCATGTACATTTCTGTAGGCATCGAATTCGGAACCTTTGACTTCATCCAAGAACATGTTCCATCGCTTGTAGTCTACCATGGCGGTGATGTCGATGTAGTAGTCACCACTGGCTTCACGACGCCGGCGACGACTCTGGTGTTTTTGAAACGTTTCAAAGTTTTCGCCGTCTGGGGGTTCACGGCAACAAAATGATCATTACATTTTATTGTCGTTCATTATATATATATATATATATATATATATATATATATATATATATATATATATATATATATATATATATATATATATATATATATATATATATGTCATTATTGGTAAATCGTTAGGTTTGTTATGAATAAACTGTTTTAACATCTAAATAACTCAATATACTTGCATTTAGCTAATAAAATATGATTAATTAGTTACGCTAGATGACAAGTTAATTTAAGTACATACCTGGATATCTATAGTCGTTGTGAAAATGAACTGTCCGTTTTGAATATTGGATAGTATTATCACGATAAAGTGTGTACTTTTGTTTTGCATATTCGAACTCTCCTCTCTGTAAGTAGTAAGAAATGCGAGTAGTGTTTCTTTAGTTGGCTACACGATAGGTAAAATTAAATGTATATTTCTTTCTAATTGAATATATCCTTGCTTCTCCCTGACTTTCCTTACACATACGTTTACTATCGATTATATTAATGTTATAAGTAATAAGTAAATATAACCGCAATTTCCAGCATCTAAAGGCGCGCAATTATAATACTATATCAATTTATGTTAAATTAAATGTTTTATTAAAACAAATATTCCATAAGTTTGACTAAAATATGTTGGAAAAAATGAATTTTATTATTATTTTTTTTATATCGTGTAAAAGTAAGTTTCCCTTTCAAACCTGACGGTCTATGCAGCAAGTGAAGTTCACTTGTTTCTTTGACCTCGGCATATGGAGAGATATTATGGTCAGCACTATGCCCAGCCACCTTTACCTTCACTAACGTGAGTTAGGTACCCACTGTTTAAAACCGCCAATCAAGCAAATGTAAACCTTACCAGCATTTCAAACGTTAGATTTCTGTTTGCGGATTTATTTAGTCTTTGGATTTGAAACGAGGCTAGGTTTTTGATATCCTGGTAGTAACCAATATTCTGCAAATATGGCATATAAAAATATGTTTTATACATACCTATATATATATATATATATATATATATATATATATATATATATATATATATATATATATATATAATATAAAATAATATTTATAATATATATATATATATATATATATATATATATATATATATATATATATATATATATATATATATATATATATATATATCATTCTATCTAAATATATATATATATATATATATATATATATATATATATATATATATATATATAATATATATATATATATATACATATATATATATATATATATATATATATATATACATATATTCATATATAGGTCTATATATAAAATGATTTCATTAAGCAACTGTTTAATATGTTTGCCACATCTTAGTAGGAGACTAATACTAAAACGATCGCAGCTGTGAGGTTTGAAATATAAATATAGCAATAGATTTAGAATTGAATGTGTAATGATTAGATGGAATTGTGGAGATGGGGGTTATTGTGATGAGGGTGTTAATTTTGATGTGGTGCTAGTTGTTGATTATTGGTATGGTATTGTGATGAATGTATTGATCGTGGACGTACTGGTATGTATTTGTTAATTTGGAGATAGGATCAATTGTTTAACTATGTGAATATCGCTTCAATAAAAGTGTTTGATATGAAAGCCAAATACAAAACAGGTTTTTTGTTTTTAAGAAATACGGTCATTGGAAGGCTGGGATGTGTATGTGGGTGGGGGGAGGTAAATGATGTAACAGAACGAGCGAGTTGTGTTGAACAGAAATACTTATGCAGATAACGTTTTTAAAGTGCTTGTTTCTACGTATTAAACTTTACTTCACACCTAACATAACGTTTTGATTTACAACAGACTACAACATATTGAAGCAGCAAATGTTAAGGAAACTAAGACTTGGTCCAATCGAAACGTGCCCTTGTGGCGTGGCCCCCAGAGAATATAGAACACGTCTTTCATGACTGCAGCTTGTATCATTAGGCGCAGTCTAGACTCTGGCCCTAATACAACTCACTATAAACATTATGGGATGTCCGAATACCTGGAGACCACAGTCCAGTTTGACAATGACGATGAACTGATTGCCGGACGCTCCCGATATCTTTCTATTTCTTCGTTCTTAATTTTAGTGAAGGGCCCCTCCAGAAAAAAATAAGTATTCGTGTCAACTGGTAATGCTTGATTCAGGCCATTGACTCGGAGTTCAGCCTGCTTTTTATTTTGGATTTGCTTCCATCGCCTTTGTCCAACCTATAACAAACTACAAGGCAGCAGTTGTTTTGATTTTAGAGTTGTCTCTCCTAGAAGAGCGGCTGTCCCCAGCTAACGAGCCTCATCTGTCTGAGGGTTCAAACTCGAGAGTTTTCGCCAAACCCTTGCCTACGATATACATTATATTACAAACGACAAATACAAATACAAACATAATCCTGTTCGACCATGACGTTAGACTGATTGCCTGGCCCATCCTATATAAATAATTTTAAAAAAACTACAAACGAAAAAATAAATAAGAATTCCGCACCTTATTTGGCTTAAAACTGACACTTGATCGTAAAAGTCTAAAATACTTGTCCCGTGTGAGTGTGTACAGGGGTGTGTGGAGACCCATGGTGTGGACGCGCTTGAGTTGAAGCGGCACGAACTTGGTGCCGTTAATGTTGACTGTCAGGTTGACGATCTCTGGCAGCAGATGGTGAACCGTATCGCTGGTAGTGTAGGTAAAGCTCCCGGAAACTTTAAAGAAAACAAGAACAAAGGTATATTCAAATGTTGATCTAGTTTAAAAAAAAAATCGAAATAAAAAAAAACTATGTTTAGATTGTGTTCTTTTCTTAAAAAAAACAAATAAGGATATTTAAAAGAAATACAACGTATATTTTAATTATTTTTTTCATTAAAGAAATAAACGAATTTAAAAGAAAGGAAAAAACAGCATTTAAATTTAGTTCTTTTTAATTAAAAAAGAACAAATTAATTTTAAAAAGAAAGAGTAAAAAAAAACAATTAAAAAAATAAACAACATACAACTTTAGTAAAAAAAAAGCAGGATAAAACTCAAGAAATTCATTGAACAGACAAGTTCATAAGGTTTTACCAGAGGCGCAGGAACTGAAGTCAAGAAAAACTAGATGAATCAAAACCAGGGAGGTGAAGAGGGACATAAACATTTTGTAACCTGTAAAATAGCAAATTTACGTTCAAACACATTCAAACGTATAAATACAAAAGTACACACACACATACACAAATTATATATATAGATATATATATATATATATATATATATATATATATATATATATATATATATATATATATATATATATATATATATATATATATATATATATATAAAAGCATATATATGTATATATACCTTTGTATATATACACATATATGTATACATTTGTTTATATACATATACATTTGTATATATAAATACATATATATATATATATATATATATATATATATATATATATATATATATATATATATATATATAATATATATATATATATATATATATATATATATATATATATATATATATATATGTTTATATGCATATACATTTGTATATATAAATACATATATATATATATGTATATATATATATATATATATATATATATATATATATATATATATATATATATATATATATATATATATATATATATATATATTTATATATATGTGTGTGTGTATGTATGTATATATACGTTTGTAAACACGTTAAAAAATACCCGCGTTTCCCACCTCTTTTATCAAGTCTAATTTGTTTCTGACAAAGTGTCGCATGACGATCTCACCAAAAAAAAATTACAACATTCTAATTAAGCCAACATTTTTCTGATGTTATTTAATCAATATTGTAATTAAAATAATAATAAATATTTTTATAGGGGCAAGTTCAGCTGTTATTAGATTCGTTCGAAGTTGAAGACTTGTTACATCAGAAATATTTTAATTTAAAAATAACAGTTTTATGCCGCGTCAGCATTAAATGACTTTGAAGGACTAAAAGAAACGTCCATAGTTCCAGGCATAACATAGTTGATCTATGTAACTTTTTAAAATCTGTAAACATAACTAAATGTTCTCTGTAATTAATAATTTGCATTAGTAAGTTATTGAAAGAATTATTCTGTTTTAAAATGTATACATATTTGAATGTCAAACATTTTTTAAAGATGTTTAAAAAAAATATTATATATATATATATATATATATATATATATATATATATATATTTATATATATATATATATATATATTAAAAAATAAGCAATATTAACAAAATAAAATATTTTTATAAAAAATTATTTTGTGACAGAAAAAAACAAATACTATACTATTTTTGTAATAAACAATTAAATACAACAGTAGGCATACCACTTTTCTAACGGAATGTTGCTTATTGTTCCATGGCGAATGTTACTGCCTCGAATATAAATTGTAAAACACTAAATAATTTCGTGAAACTGAGCGCTTTGCTTTTAGTACGCGTACAGGAAGTACAGGAGTTGACACGATTTGCCCAGTTAAGGCGAGGAGTGAGCGAGGTAATCTTGAATGGAGTTCTCGAGTATTCGAAGTAAGGTGAGCGTGTTAGAGCATGATTTGTAAGTCTTTTTAATTTCACATAAATTAATTGTTATCTATTTTACAATTTTGTATTGGCACATTACATTAAAAACTTGTCTTTTGTTTATCTATCTATATACTACAAAAAGCTAAAGGTTTGTATTTTTTTTTGTTTCTTTATCTGTTCTGTTAGATTAGAGTATTTGCAATATGTGTACAACTGTAACTCTATTTATGTAGAGAATAAAGTTCTTTCTCCTCAACTGTTACACACACTTTAATTTAAAGACGATAATTATTTTATTGATATATTCCTTTGTAGAAAGACTAATTTCGTCATAAAAGTTAAGAACAAATATCCTACTTTGTTTACACAAACATTAACAATTTTCTCAGTGACTTACTTGAAACGTAATAGAATGTATCAAAAAAGAAACGCTACGTAATCTGATAAACAAAATTTAACTCCAAACAGAAAATCATGTATACAAAAGTACATTGACTTTTAGAGACGCGATTTGAAGCGCATAGCATAACGGTGTAAATGTGTTTTGTTTTTTTTAAATTACACGAATCAAAATGATATTGTAACACCCATGTAAGTCTACTTCTACAAAAATCGATCGTTCATACAATAACAAAACACCACGTCTAACAACACCGAACCACCCCCCCCCCCCCCCACCCCGCATCACTTTAAACACACGAGAATTCAATCTCTAATACTCGTCCACACTGCTCGCCTTACCTGCATCAATCGCGTCAACCACGCCCACAGCTGTATTTCTCATAAGGTGTAGCTTTAACACAACACATCATAGAGTTGCACTAAATTACAGCTTTAACACAACACATCATAGAGTTGCACTAAATTACAGCTTTAACACAACACATCATAGAGTCGCACTAAATTACTTTGTGTTTCGCAACTTGTATCTGAGTGAGTATAGTTTTAAGCTTAAAGATAGTTTACGCCTGTAAAGGACAGTGATGTGTGTGTTTATAAAGCAGCATATACCCGGCATTTCCCGGGTTTAGGAGATATACATACTTACATGAGTTCCATAAAATACATATATACAGAGACATAGGGTCCGTTTTAGCTTTATATTATTAGATTTTCATATCTTACCCAGACACTATAATAATATTTATTACGAGCATACATAATCAATAATTTAACTTGGATCATCACATTTTACAACGTAGTTTATTAATTAAACCACACCGATAAAGCTTAAGGCTTAAGTGGTGATATGTTTCATTATATCAGTGAGGCTGAATTACATTGTGTGCGAAAAAGAGAAATAAGGTAATTCTAAAAGTGTGGTGTCTTTGTTTAGATGTAGGAAGCTTAAGTTAGTGTAAGATTATAAGCATTTTGTCGCTTTAGATGCGGTTATAGACAACTTATAAGAAATATTAATGAATTATCCATTTCGATATGCTAAACGATTTATTTCTCCATATACATATAATATATACATATATATATATATATATATATATATATATATATATATATATATATATATATATATATATATATATATATATATATATATATATATAATCTTTATACGTTTTATACATACAAGGTCATTTTATAACAGTTACAGAATGTTTAAGTCACTTTTTGAATCCGTGGTCTTATTTCAACTATTTTGTATTCAATTCAGTTTAAGCAATACAGGTAAAATTATACTGATTTTCTTGTCTCTATGTTATATTTTCATCCGTTATTTTTAATCAATTTTTATATGAGTAATGTCTGAAACAATTTTATTTTTATTTTAAAAAAGGACATTTGTTTTGGTTTCAGTTGTTAATGACTTTAAGACCAGTGACGCCAATAATCAACTACTACCAGACGACGTCAACTTCACAGTCAGCCTCACGCACACCACATCCGTCTTTCTCCAACTGAAGCGTGTCCACTACATTGGTGTAAACACGCCTGTGTACACACTCAGGACTAATGATAAGGGAACCTACGCCAAGTCCAGATTGACGCTAAACTCAAGAAAGGTAGGGTATCAAAAGTAAAGGCAATGAAAGCAAATTTTAAAAGAAAAGCAGTTGAAATCTGAGTCCATGGCACATATCCACATTTTAACCTGTAGTGCCTAATTTTGTTGGAGGTAATCTCTTTTAATTAAGAACGAATACGAAGAAGAAATGCAAGGATAAAACAATTAGGCAGAAAAATAGACACTAAGGCATTCTAAACAATTCGCCAACATCCTAACCCAGCCTTTCGAACCTCATAGTATCTTTACGCTCAGCGCCCGCTATAGCCTTTAACATGTGCACCCAACAAGCAACGATATCGTTGTTATACGTCATTACAACAACATATTGACATATCGTGTTACATTGTGATTAGATAGTAAACGTGTTTTTTCTTTTAATTTCTAAACAAACAACTTACGTCTTTGTCATATGTTAACGGCTTCCTTTAGTGTAAACCCGTTCTTAAAGATACATAGTGTCAGATGTTTATAAAATCATTGTTATGTAAGATAAAGGTTTTTGTGGTGGTAAGTGCATTCAGTGCATTCATAGACTAATGAATACTTCTTTACACTAGCACAAATATGTACACATAATTTTTATCATTTTAATCCATTATGAGAATTATAATTATATTATGATTAGTTGAAGATTTGCAATAAAAAGTATTTTCATTAGAATGGGTATATATATATATATCTCTAAATACTATAGCATATAAATGAACTTTTCTTTTCGAAGAATATGGGATTCTACCAGGACATTAGCAACCTAGCCTCGTTTCAAATCGAAAGGATCAATAAACCCTCCAATACTAATTTGAAATTTGTAATTGTGGTAAGTTATTGCTATACGATCCAAAAGGGTTAAACATTTCCGAAACTGAGCTGCAAGTATCACTACCAAATTATAATTCAATGGAACTTTTTTCTTAAATATTGCTTTAAGTGCTTAACAATAACATGTATTAAAAGCTCTGGAAAAAAACTCGACATTTTTCATTGTTTATTTTTAAACGCATTAGCAAACTAATACATAACAAAAGATAGATAAAAAAAAATGTATAAAGCCAAAAAAGAAACATGAACACTATGTTGTCTAATAAACAAGTAACTGATAATATTTACATAATATTATTTGTAACTACTTACAGAAAGGTAATTTTGAACATGAAGGTAAATCGTACTCACTCTCCCGAAACACTCAACCCACGGGGACAAATGCAGCTCTTGTAGCACCATACAAGCTGGAATTTATAAACCCTCAGATAGATCTACAAAGTGACGATGGCTTTCGTCTTCCAGGTTTGTTCTTTTTGTAACTTAATCTAAACGTTGAACTAGTGTAGGGTTATTTGTTTTAGTACATGTCATGCTAAAATAGTCCGCGTATTCTGTATGTATTTTTTGTGCATTATGTATGAATTTATTCACACCTAAACTATCGAGTGCTCAATAATGCAATAAATACAAATGCATGCTAGTCGTGATTTTGTAATGCAATCTTATCGTATTAGATTTTGGTGTCACCCCCTCTCTGGTCCTTGATTTAAAATACTCAATAAAGCATTTTTTCCTGTTTAATGTTGATTTTGAATTTGGTGTCAGCACCCCCCCCCCCCTCACCGTCGATAATTTAAAAAAAAATTACAGTCAATAGTAAAGATGTTTATCTATAGTCATGTATTTAAAGTGGATTAGCTCTAATTTATTGAACTGGCAAAAAGCATATTTCATCAATATATTTTGTCATTTTTCGCCTTGGTGTCAACCCTTTAAATGGTGTCACCCGATGCGGTCCGCACCCCTCGTCCCCGCCTCGCCTCTGCTGTTTTGCTTGAACCTACAGACATCGAACGCATCGACTCGACTCCAAAAGACCAGAGTCGTCGCCGGCGTCGTGAAGCCAGTGGTGACTACTACATCGACATCACCGCCATGGTAGACTACAAGCGATGGAACATGTTCCTGTCTCATGTCAATGGTTCAAGACAGGATGCTATAAACAATGTACTAGAGCATTACGCTTATATTTTCAATAGGGTAGGACATTAACTTGCTTCCATTTACTTAGTTAGCTAAACTTTACCTGCCCATTGGACCTTAAATTGCGAAATAGTACTTTAGTTTACTATTTATTAAAATCCGTAACTTTAATATTTTGCAACATATTATTTAATTTGTGAAAAATCTAAGTTTAGACTAATTGCCTTTTTGAAACGTGTCGTGTTTGTAGTATCAGATTGTAGTTCAGTTAACTGTAAAACAAACATCAATATTTCTTAGTAATTATATATTTTTTTTACTCATAAAAATTGTTGACTGTAGGACTTTGAATGTATTTAGTTTTGTTTTGTGCACAAATGAAACAATCAGTTTTACACAATAAAATTTAACGCAACCTTAAACACAGAAAATCCATCGGATGTTATAAATAAAAATCATAAACATTGTAATTATTTTACATGTTTTTACCGTCGTCCCCCACCCCCCACACACACTTATCCTAGCCTCCCAGTGACCATATTTCTTAAACGCAAATTGAATTTGTCTTTCGAATCTAAAATTTGTATAGAACTATTAAATTTTTCATTAAAATACTTACAAGTACTTCGATGATCAATCCATTTATCACACAATTTGTTTTATTCTCAATTTATGGTAAATAAATAGAAACATTATTTCTGATGTTCAATAACACTAAAATGGTCATTGTCTTAAGAGCTGATACGAAGAATTAAGATGAGTTTTTAAGTCACTAATGTTGTTTTCCAGCTTGATCTTTGTTATCAGAATATAAAGTCCTTACCTTTCAAGCTGAATATTCTTCTTGCGCAAATCATCATCTGTGAGGTATTTGAGATTTATTTAATTAATTTAAGTCTCTGTTACAGCACAATAATTGTTTGCATATTCTAAGATTGTGATTTTGACGACTATGTTACTACACAATGTACGAATATGTTTATGAATGTCATCTAAACATTTCTTTACACATCTAGGCTATAAACATAAGTTTCTGATATAAACGTTGACATCATCACTAAATATAATTAGTACATTGTGTTACTAGTTTACTGGTGTGTATATATTTGACAACCCCACTAAAGTAATATGATTAATATATTCTACATGTTTATTGTTTTGAGTATTCCACTGAAGTGCTGATAGTTAATTGTGCTACTACCTGATTATGATGATAAAATCAAATTTATTGTAATGTGTGATGACGCTAGATTAGGTTAGAAGTCTAGTAGATGGTAGAAACAGACTATAGCTTAGTTAGCTAAACAGACCAATGGAAATACAAGAGTTGAACGGTCACGTGGGACTGTCAGCTGACCACTGAGACGTAGGTCGACAGACTATGATAGGTGGTAGTAGAGAACACACGTAGATATACAGAGCTAGATAGAAGTAGTAGTAGTGGACAGTTAGATAGAAGTAGGAAGTTGATAAAAAAAGAACATTCGATCTTGAATTGGACTTGTGTGTAGTGATTTCACAAGACTATACCAGTCTCGGCGTTTCATCATCTTCATCACCCCATCCCTCACATGATGAAAGCCTCTCATAGAACTTTGAGTTAGTTGTACAACAATCTTATTGAAAAGACCACCACATTAAACTATAATATTTGTTAGACTACCCGGGCTTCAGACTTTACCACAAAGGCCAGTACACCAGGCGGTGACCACGTTGACCAGCTGACATCGTTCAGTTTGTTTACTTCCTTCATTAAAAGCAATAGCTGGAATCTTCTTGCGCCGTTTGATCACGTGATGCTCTTTACTGGGTAAAAAACATATCATGAATTAACATATATAATAAAAGTAAAGTTAATATTCCTATTTAGATCAAGCGATCCATTGGAGAGATGAAGAAGAGCACAGATGTGTTCGAACTCAGAATATTATGATGGAATAATGTGGTCAGCACTATGTCAACCCCAGTCTTTACTTTCCTTAACGTGAGTTGGGAACTCATTAGAGCTGGGTGGACTCAAAGAAGCTGCACTGACTTTAACCCAGATGAGAACTCAGACTTTCGAGTTAACATTGCTGTTTTACTATTATTGAGAAAAAAAGCGTAAATGAATATATTTAAATATGGAAACTGTCAAAAACCAGAAAACAAAATGCAAACATTTCCAAAATATAGTTTGCACAAACATTTGTTACACTACTTAAATAAGGTCATAGCCTTTAAAAGCTAGCAATGTCTAAAAAAAAATATCATGTGCTGTCAAATGTTAAAACAAAAACAAACGTGCATGTTCATTTTGTGTAGTTTAAATACATCAGTACAGATGTCTAAATGATTTGTAACCTAAAATCTGAGAATATTATTAATTTATTTAAATTTTAAAAATCTATTTCTGAGGTACTACATAAAGGACTCAGATGACGGTGGTAAACTTGCAGGTAGAAATTCACTTTTAAATTCAACATTTTGTTTGGTAAATATTGTTCGTGATATTATCAAAGGTGATTTAATTATTCTCAATCCCAAAACTTGTTTAAAAATTAGATATATCAATCTTCAATATTTTCAATGATTGTATCGAAATATTTGAGTTAAGGGAAAAATATCATAAAATGTGATTCAATATAAGCTGTACTTGTCCTTTGAAACGGTGTACAGTGTTGTGTCGAGTACGAGGTGGTGGAATTTAATCCTAACATATTTGAGGTATATAATTATATAATATATTACAGTTCTTTAAAGAAGCAATTTTAAAAAGCCTAAAATTGTCCAAGCTGTACCATAAATCACTGTTTATTTTTGCAGCTTTTCAAATGTATATTTTTAAGCAAGTATAACTTCATAAAAGTAAAAAACAATGTAAATAATTTTCTTTAGACCTAGCAACCCATTAGGAAAATGAAGTAGATTTCATGTTTATTGACCTCGGTATATGAAGGATAATGTATTCAGCACTTTGCCTAGCCATCTAAGCTTTCGTAGCTGTGTAGACTCAGGGACGTTCTACTGACTAAAACCAGGTTTCGGACAAGACTTTCTACCGCTAAGGCCACGCCGTCCCATCATATATGTTATGGTCAGTATTATTTGTTGTCGACTGCTGAGCCGTCGGAAATAGACATGTTTTTGACACAAAGTAATTTTTTTTAATCCAGTGTGTCTTGATAGTAAATAAACATATTTACAAGAAATCGTTTTGAGCATTCAAATCAATTATGCTTTACCAACAATAAAATATCGCGAGGTACAAACTAATTAATTATTGGTTTAGGAGCAGCTCTTCTTGGTGCCACATGCAGAAATAGCATCTACAGTTATTCGATAATTACTGACGTTAATGAATTCACGAGTGAAACTGTGGCCCATGAGTTCGCTCACAGGTAGGTGCTTAATGCGTGGTTGTGTTTTGTTTATCGGCTTTGTCTCTGAATGCTTTACAGAGTGAGTAGAGGAAAGTGTATTGCTTTAAATATTTAAACAAGTAATTAAAAAAAGTCTAGTGACAATTTTAGCGCAATTTCCTTATGTTATCTAAAAATAGCTCTGTCGTAGCGTAAATCAAGAGCAGGGTTAGTAAAACCATTGGTTAGTTATTAAAACGTTTTTTATTAAAAAAAATTTCAGTATTTTACATGTTTTATTTACAATAGAGTAACATGACTAAAAACCATTGCGCGCCTAGCTACCGAACGTGATGTCGCAGCCATTGAACGTGATGGCGCAGCTATTGAACGTGATGACGCGTGTGGTGTGGTTGGAAAAACATGCCTACTAATTCGGCCTAAATTTTAATTAATTCAAAAAAAAATTTGTGACCGAACGAAAGGATATTTTTGAAAACTTTCTTCGGCAATATTGTTCTAAATTATGGCAGGAATCGATTGGTACATGTTTCAAGTCGCTAAGTGGTCTGGTTGCTGAGATATGGGCCAAAAACTGCATTTTTTCGAGGTTTTTTGGCTTTTTCGGGAAATCCATGAAAGAAACCCTGAATTTTTATGGCCTATGTTCATCCTCGTAACTTGCTTAACATAATTGCTTTTGTAACTAGTCATCGATATTGCTTCGTTGAGGAGGAGATACGACTTAAAGCCCGGACACACATTCATACATCCATACATTCATCCATCCATACATTCCCAGAAATGACGAGTTAATAAACGCAATTCTCCAGAATGGAAATTGCGCTAAAAAATACTGTCTACACAATCTTAGTGTTGATGGAATTATTTTGTTTTTAATTAGCAAAAGTAAAATTGATAAATAACTACATAGTGATGGATAGGGTAAGAATCTTTTCAAAACCATACAGCAGGTGGAGTAGTGTTTACATGTTTCAATGAACTGCGATGTGTGATCAGCTGTATGCCCAGTCGCTTTTACCTTCCCTAATCTGAGTCAGGAACCCATCATTGTTGGCTGGAGTTAGAGATGTCCTAGAGACTAGAACATGGGATCTGATGGGTCGAACGCTTTACCATTCGACCACGCCGTCCCGTGATAAATAAAACACATATTATGTGATAACTAAAGTTTATTTTCGGTGTTTATTTCTCAGTGTGTGGACTTTTGTGGCTGTATAATAATTGCATCACCATTAATCGCTTGGTTCTAGTTCCCATTAAGGGTTTTGGTATCAGTGTTACTTTAAACATTTTTTCCCGGGGGGGGGGGTAGTGACATTAAAATTCTCGTAGGGTGGGGTTCGGGCTATATTTCCGTAGGGAATGGACACTCGTCAAAATAAATTATATTTCATTCAGGGCGCTAGGAGGGACGCTAGATCTTTTCGTGGATGTGGGGGGGGGGGGGGGGCTACCCCTAAGGAATGCCTGAAAGAAACTACGTTTGGTGTGAATAAATGTTCTTTTACTACGTGTTTATTTAAATTAATAAAGGCGGCTAAACATACAGACACGACAAGTGTTGTACAGATGAAATTTTTTATGTTTAACCCTCTGCCAGCCTGGGGATCGAGCATGACGGAGACGACAACACATGTTCTCCCGTCGACGGTTACCTAGTGGCGCCAATAGGTGCTAGAACCTTGAGGTTCTCAAACTGTAGCATCAACTACCTCAACACTTTCATCAACGCAATTCTGAGTACTGAGTAAGTCGATATTGAGTTCGTCTTGTAAGTGAAAACTCACGAAAAAACACAAGAAGACCCATAGACTCCTATCTTATCTTTCTATCTGTAAATATAAACGTGCGCATACATAATATATATATATATATATATATATATATATATATATATATATATATATATATATATATATATATATATATATATATTATCTGAATGTGCAACGGTGTATTTAAACGTATGTTTAGGAGTGGAGCAAAATGTCTAGCAACTAAGCAGTCCAATGAGCGATTACCGGGTCTAATGTATACGCCGACAGAACAGTGTGTGTTGAAATACGGGGATGGTTCTTACGATTGCAGGGTAAGCATTAACATAATTTTTTTATATTACAGCGTTTAAAAATGAGTTGTTGTTTTTTTAGAATATATAAATTCGATAACATTTTTGTGATTTTTAAAGCATAACATTCACAAATATTTAAAAGAAAAAACAATTTAAGAGAATTATTTTGTGTGTTTATTTTTAAAAGCATTTACGCTTTGTTTAAATTATAATCAATCGTGTTGACATATAGTGGGGTATCTATTAAAATAAAAACGTCACATAACAGCGTGCATCTTTGGGGGTTTTTTGTCGACCATCAAATTGATTGTTTAATTTTCTCAGCTGAATAAAGTAGCACACTACTGCGGAAAGATGTTCTGTTACAATATAACAAAAAATATATGCAACAGTGTTACTGCGGCATTGGAAGGGACGACTTGCGGTAACGGTAAGGTAAGTGGTTACTTTAGGCTAGATTGTTGTGTGGTGGGGGGGGGAGACTTTAACGTAACGGTAAGGTAGGTGGTTACTTCAGACTAAATTGTGAATACAGTGGTCAGGCGCTTGTATGTATAAGCCTATTTTAAACATAAAAAGCCGAACAATAGCAGTAGCTATATACATTTTTACTTTCACGTATATACGAAGTATATAGAAAGTCTCGTAATCGTGGAAAAAAATCAAGATTTTTGCAAATCTCGACGTTTTACATCTCCCTGAAACGGAAAAACATAGTTTTCCAATCTTATCCGTATGTCTGTCTGTGCGTATGTGTATGTGTGTGTGTCTGTAAACACGATAACTTAAGTACCGTTAAAGCTAAGTTGATGAAATTTCAAATATAAATATAATATCAAAATCGTAGATCAGTATCAACTTTAGAGCGATTTCCTATAATCAAAAGTGGAACTTTTTCTACTTTGAATTTTTCAAAAAAGCCTATAACTTGAGTACTATTTCAGACAGATAAATGAAATTTCACATGAAAGTAAAAGATCTAATTATCTACCTTCTGACAAATTTTGAGTAATTCCTGATGACCTGAAGTAGTAATTTTCGCTATTTTTGATTTCTAAAAAAATGCATGTGAATTTATATGTACTTATAATATTCCGCACATTTTATTTGGCGTTCACTTGGTGTGAATTGTTTTTTCTAGGAGATTCTATTCTATTTTTAAAAGTTTAAGTACTTAAATGGATAAAAAATCGTGTCTATATCCCGAGTTGCCATTCCCTGTTTCTTTATATAAGAATATTCGAGAAAATTTTGGGGAGATCACTCGCGGTTTATTTAAAATATATTTTTCACATCGTCATTACAGAAATCCTAATTAGCTGTAAATTACATGTTACATACATAAAGAAAATCATGTTTCGTTTAATACCAACAGCTATGCAGAGACGGAAAATGTGTAAGGCATGGGGCAGCCCCTAATGTGGATGGTAGGTTTGAAGTAACAATACACGTGATATAAAGAGTTAAAATTACGTCAACTTTATTTAGCTTTAAAATTTCTTCAGCAACAGTTTTTAATATGAGTTTAAAAAGACAGCCGTTGTTTAAACAACAGGAACTAATACTTTAATTCTTACCGTACTTACCATGTTTCTGGGGTATGGACTAACAATCGTTTTTTTATTCAAAATAATTTCTCGGGGGGGGGGGTGGTTAGGGGGTTATTTGATATTTTCGTGAGGGGGGGGGGGAACATTGGTAAAGTATACAATTTGCTATATAAATTCCATTTCGTTCGGGGAAGAGGGGTAGGCTTTATTGTGGACAAGCCCTACCCCCCTGAAGAAATGACTGGAAGAAACTCTGCTAACAATCTTAAGTAATACAAAATAACTTTTGACACATTGGTTTTTAACGTCATAATGGAGTGGTAAATATAACATCGCAACCGCCTTTTACTGGCTAGGAGCCCACGTCGTCATTGTACGTGTCAATGTTGTCTTTTTCTTTACATTAATTCCCCTCCCCCCCCCCCCCGCCTTTCTCCCATGATACCCCATAGCTTGACCCATGTGGAAAATTCCTCAGTAAGCCACTGTGAATAAAGTAGTTCGCAGTACGCTGATTCTCTTCTTAAGAGGAAAAACATATTTACATACTTTCTTGTATTAAATAAAATAAAACATATAAAGTCAAGTGCTTGTCTACTGTCTTAGTGAATTAGAATTCATGTTTTAAAATATTATGCTAATATAAAAATTCATCTTTAAAAAAAATTCCACCCAGATACCTGTGTGTACGGACTAGAAACAGTTGGAGACTTTGAAAGCTCTACGTGTGCTGCTAGGATTCAAGCCTTCCCCGGGCTGTGCTACCAGAAGAAATACTCTAACAACTGCTGCACTTCTTGCAAAAATGTTTTCAAAAATATAAAGGGTAAATCTTGAATTAGAATAACCGTTTGAAATCATCCAAAAAATCAATTAAATAAGAATGCTAACATGTAAAACTTTTGAAAACTTTTATACCAAGTTTTGAATATTTTGTGTACAGTTTCAGGAGTGTTTACAATAGATTATTAAGAAATATATATAAATATTAGTAAATTCATTTATTTAAAATGTTGCTTTACATGTACCCCACATATTATCTATATATATAATTCTCTTCTTGAAGACGTTAGAAAACAAACTGCAAGCGCGCCTTACAGTCCCCTCTCTTCCTCTCTATCACTACCGCCCCCACCCTCCACATGGTCTAGTGTGCTGTGGTTCACGCTAAATGTTTACAATTCGGTTTTAGTGACGGCTATTAAGGGCAGATAATTTAGTTTGTAACAATTTTAAACTTAGAGGAGGTAACTAAGAGGAGTCTGCTATCACGGGGGGGGGGGGGGGTAGGGTAGGGGTTGGGGGAAAGGGGGGGGGGTTAGTGTTTAAAAGCAAATATTTTCAGTGGCAGCATTGGTACTGTCGAATTCTCAAATTATGAATTACTAAAGAGTAGAAAATAAAACAACTAAATAGTGGCATATAATACGCCACGGGTCGGCTCGTATTTTATATTGTATCTATTGAATCACTATTTGTGACTGGTGTATGTCAAATAATTATTTGTTGATGATTTCTTTTGTTTCACTCCCTTACTCTGGGCGATAACGTCCCCTTAACATATGTAGACTTCGTTTAATCAGACACTTTTTCTCAAGGGGTTACGTCTAACAGGGGCGCAATGAAAATGTTAGGAGAGTATATTTTCTATATAAATCATTTTTTCGATTCCGTCTGGACGTAGGGTACTCCAGGTAGAGGGGACAGTGTGTAGAGGTAAAAGGAAAATCTGTTTATAAGATTTTTTATTTAGAAACTACCAAGACATGAAAAAATAAATTGTTTATTTCAAAGACAGTTGTGTAGACGTAATCATGATTTGAAAACACAGGTCTACTTAATCAAAACTGAATGTTTTTTCTTTTGTATATATATATATATATATATATATATATATATATATATATATATATATATATATATATATATATATATGTTTGTCAACAGGTTGCGAGTATGGAGATAGATACAAGAAATGTGTGCGTGCACTGTGTCGGTTTCCTTCTGAAAATTATCTTACAATCTGTTGTAAAACATGCAGCTAATGGTTCCCATGTTTCAACCTACATCAAATACGAAAACTGCTTGGACAAACAAATATACAGTGGAAGAAACAATCGCACCTCTGTAAAATTGTACAAACAAATAACTACAGTTTAAGCTATTAACACATCTTCAAGAAGTTTTTTTTTTTTAAATCTGAATTTTGGCTCTTATTCGAACTATAAAAAAGATACATGTTTTGTTCGATTTCCAACTCAATACAATACAAGAATAATTTGTATACTTGTTTTTCATACAACGTTAGAATTTTTGTGATGGCTACAACATTCAATATTATTTTCTTCTCTCACTTTATGTCAATTAGAACCATAAGTTGCAAAATACAAATTTATTCTAAAAATGATTAATAATGAGATTTAGATCAGTTTAAATTTTAGTACAAATATCAATACTAAAAAAAAAATATTAAGAATTCACGATTAAATTAAGTTTTTTTTTATCATAAGCATGCCTTCCACAAACATACATACATACAGTGAGTGACATTTTAGTTTATATATTAGATATCTAGCGTGCACGTCCCCCTGTGTTGCCGCTACCAAAAAGCCTCCTTACAATCGTTCACATATATACACCCGCATTCAACCTTGGTGTAAATTACATAAGAACTCAACTCACTAACGCACCAGCCAATATGCGAGAGGGGTGACGGAGTGGTCTAGCGGTAGAGAGCTGGACTGCTAACCCGTAAGTCTCGAGTTCGAAACCAGGTTCAAGTCAGTAGACCGTCCGTGAGTCCACCCAACTCTGATGGGTACCTAACTCACGTAAAGGCCATTGGGCATAGTGCTGACCACACTATCTCTTCATATGCCAAGGTCACAGAAACAAGTGAACTCTATGTCACTTACCCTATAGACCATCAGGTTTGAAAAGGGAACTTGCAAGATACTAGAGACTATTCTAACCAGCAAGCGGCGTCGCTAGTTCGGGTGTCACTCGGTGCGACACCATATGGTGTCATCCCACCCCTTTTTTTCTCCGTAAATTTTGCAGTTGGGTTCAATCCACCACCACCACCCCCCCCCCCCTTCCCCCAACGCTAAAAGTTTAAAAGTGTTCAAATTTAATACTAATAAAGTGTATCGATAGTTAGCTTTAAATAGAGCTGGATGCAGCAACGTTTTCTCTAGAGTTTGCATTTCTACGTCATGGTGTGATCCACCTACCTTTCCAGGATTGTCATTATGTACTTAAAATACTTTTTAACTCCCGTTAACCATTAGTTGAACATGAAAAAAAAACCATTAATTCTATATATGTTGTAATTTTTGTGTTTTGTTGTCACCCCCCTAAATGGTGTACCTGGTGTGGTCCAATTCCCCCCCCCCCCCCCATAGCGACGCCTCTGAACCTAACTTCTAAATGACTCGTAACTTATACTAACTATAGTTTGGAAAATCCCAGCATATTTTTTTCTATAAATATATTTTTGGGAAAAATTATTGTGAGTTACTGGCGCTCAAACGGAGCTCAAAACATGTTATATCGGGAATTCCTCATATGTGAGCTGAAAATATAACAATATCCTGTTTGCGTCTACCCGCCTGAAGTATAATTTGAGGTGAATGGTTAAAATTTAATTATGTTTTGAGTTAATACGTATAGTTTGATTGGGTTATAAGTTGAATTTCATTTTTGATTCGTTTTTAAGTGTAATCTAATTAGCTTGTGAGTTTACATGCATATTTAAAATGTTTTAAATTTACATGAATAATCTAATTAGGTTTAAAGTTAACATGGATAATCTAATTAGGTTTAAAGTTAACATGAATAATCTAATTAGGTTTAAAGTTAACATGTATAATCTAATTAGGTTTAAAGTTAACATGTATAATCTAGCTAGGTTGACTATGTTTTTTTTAAACCAGTGTGCTTGTTCGGTAGAATAAACGATTAATAGGTCGACAATCAGACCACTAGTAAACGATATATCACTCTACTACATATTTTACAAGTGTATTAGTTATACAGACTTATAATATTTTTGTGATTTGTAAATTAAAAAAAAAATGTATCGTTTACATAGAGATAATACTATACAAATTAATATTGCTATACTTACGATTCAAATAACAAAGAAATATGATTGACATTTGTTTTATTTATTTCGTTTAGAACTATGGAACAATTAAACAACTATAGAAACTAACCCAACTATGGATGGAAATAATAGTAAAGTATCAAATGATTTTCTACAAGCTGCACAAGACGGCAACACGGAACTTGTTAAACATTTGTTAGATAAAAACGTCGACATTACTGTCACCAACCAGTTTGGCAGAAATGCTTTAATGGAAGCTGCTTTTAAGGGACACGACGATACCGTAAAACTTTTAATAAACGCCTCTTGTGATGTCAAGCATAGGGATATCAATGGGAACACTGCGTTACTGCTGGCCGCAGGGGCAGGGCATCTGAGTACTGTAAAACTGCTATTAAAGCATGACGCTAGTCTAGATGATGTAAATAATTATGGATATAACGTTTTATTAAAAGCTGCAAGTGGCGGTAGAACAGAAGTTGTAAAATTGTTGATGGATCAAAATGTTCCAATAAATCATGTTAATACATCTGGTAGAAACGCTTTAATGGAGGCTTCTTATATTGGACATATCGAAACTGTGAACTTTTTACTGACAACGTCTATAAACAAGAAAAGAAAAGACTTGCAGGGACATGATGCGTTATGGCTCGCTTCAGACGCTGGACATCTCAACATTGTTAAATTACTCCTTCATCATAATGCAAGTCTAAATTATTATAAAAATGTAGGTTGAAAAACTAGTCATCTGCAAGGAGCGAAAATATAAAATTAAAATATATTAAAATTTTAATTTTAAATTAAAGGAACAACTAATGTATACTGCATAAGTTGTGTTAAACAGTATTATTATATTTTGTATGCATTATGTGTGTACTAAATCTTTTGATTTTTGCTGTATACTGATTATAGTTTTTATTTTAAATGAAAAGATACAGCAGAAAATAAAATGACTTTGTGCCGTCGAACTATTTTTCAGAACACATTAAGCGTTTTCTTTTGTAAGTTGTACACTATACTTAAATTTCTATAATAATTGTGATTTATATAATTAAACTAGATAGTTCACTAATTGTAATAAAATGAGGTTTATTTTATTAAATTAATGTTAAAATGTTAAATTGGCTATACTTTTAACAATTAAATATGCATATAAAGATTGATTCCGAATTATAAATTTTTTTAAAAACGATCCTTGCATTCGTGTATTTAACTATAACTATTATTCTGGAGCATGACATTACCCCTCCTCCCCCCTCCATCTTTCAATTACCATATATATTATTTAATACTGCAGTAAAACTTGCTTTATATTGTAAAAGTAATTGAACGATACTGAGGTGTCCCTTCTCAGAAGCAAGCAATAATGCGGTATATGTATACGCACATCGGGAAATTTGATGGATATTAAAATATTTTGTCAGCAAAAGTTGAACAATTTCTGTTTGTCCCATAATACATGCTTCTATTGATTTGAAATGGATACCTTTTAAATGATATAACTTCTAATAAGCTAAACACAATTACAGTTTATTAAATAAATTACTTTTATTTAACATAGGAATAGCATTAGACAATGTTTCTTTTTTTCATCTATATATATAATTCTCTTCTGGGAGACGCTAGAAAACAAGCTGTAAACGCGCTCCCTACCATCCCCATCCCTACATGGTCTTAGTGAGCTGTGTTCACTTTAAATGTTTACAAACAGAGCCGGGTTTAGTGACGACTATTAGTGGCAGATAATTTAGTTTGAAACGATTTTAAACGTAGGGGGAGAGGGGGGGGGGGTAACTAAGTGGAGTTTACTTTAAAGGAGGGGGGGTATCGTCCTTAACGAGCTACTTATAGTGTTTTAAAGAAATATTTTCAGTGGCAGCGTTGGTAGTGTCGAATTCACAAATTATGAATAACTGAAAAGTAGAAAAAACAACAACTAAATAGCGGCGTATGATATGCAGCGGGTCGGCTCGTATCTTATAATACAGTAACAGTACTATATTGTATTTAAAATAATTTCATTTTCTAATTTTCAAGAAAAAATAATTTAGGGGTATAATGATTAAAATCATACATTTTATCATCACCATACTTTTTTCCAGTTCATGCTCAAGGCTAATTTGGCAGATAAAGTAGAGTTCATCTGGTTTAATGACTTATACACCCAAGTGGATAGGGTGGTCAGTACTATTTCCAGCCGCCTTACTTATCTAATGTTGGTCAGGTTCCCATCAGCGCTGGGTGATCTTAGAGACATCATACGGGCTGGAGCCATAAACCATACTTTCATAACATGTATATTATTCTTTTGTTTTACAAGCTAAAGCATTAGACACATACCAGCCAATAAAATTAATTGGTTTTCCTTAATTTTTAAATTAATTTTAATTAAACATCATCTGAGTAGGTTATAAGAATATACTCAGAAATAGGAAAAGTAGTATAATTAGAAAAAAATTAATGCATATTCAATACATTACTTCAAAAATTACTTAGATCACAACAATCAAATGTCACATTTATTATGTGTAAATTATGGCTAACATGCATATTTGTAAAATATAGAAACATATATTAATTTAAAATATTTGACTATGTATTAATAAAATTACTTTAAAAATACATGCCTAATTTGTAAATTAACTTAGATTTTAGTTATTTTCAAAATAAATAATTTTTAACTGTCAAGTATAAACCACATAAAATGTATAAGCTTTTAGAAATTAAATATTAAATTTAATACATGTTTCATTATATAAAATGTCCTAAAGTTTTAGCACCAGTAATAAACTATGACAGGTTCCATATATAGTGCCAATGTTAAAAATGAATTTATTTTAAATGTTCTTTGAATGAAAATATCAATATACTTAACTTATAATGCCAGTACCAGTACATTAAAATAAGTATACATTAATAATTGGATTATCTCCTTAACATGCTTAATAAGCATCAAAGTGTGAGTGTAACCCTCACTCAGTGGGGATGCTTTTACCCACTGAGGTGTTATGGTTAAGACGGGCTGACCCTGAGATTAAGTACACAACGACACCGACAGTTGTTGTCAAGTACTCGCTTTATTTACAGCATCGAGCCATGACGGCGATGCAACACAGTAGTACAAAACAAACTAGCCAAGAAGAAAAAATACTAAATCCAAATCCAAACACTGTAGCCCTAAAACAAATGTAAATAAAAAAAAAGTTACATTCCTGACAACACCATGTGTAGGCTACAATATACACGGGTATAATAAAATATGTTTTGGCCAGTACACAGTACTGCCAACAAGTACCAATAAGTAGTACTACAAATAAATACTTATATTAATACTCACCCTAACTAGTGTGCACATGCAGCACTAGCAGGAATACACAAATAAGTATTTTAACAAACATAATTTATATAACTACCTTCATTAGGTCTACATCTTGGTCACCGTGTTCACAGACAGCAGGCTTGCGTGTGCGACACGGCTAGGCATGAAACTACCCACAGTCCCATGTCACATGACATGGAACACAGGTAACATCGCTCACAAAAGCATAAAAAAAACAACGTCAACAGTTCAGTTGCGGTCCCACAGGGCCGCAACCCAATGAATAAAAACTTCATATTTTTATCCCCCTTGGCTGGTAACCATATGTGTTACATGAGTATAAACAAATTTACATATTTATAGTAACAATTGAAATCACATATTTTACCAGATAAATTTAACTTATATCATTATCAAATCCAACTTTAGACTAGACATCATCACTAATGGTTACTTTAACAAATGAATCATTTTTCAGCAGCCAATCAGCTGTTGGCCTCAGCTGTGCATCACTTTGAAAAATCTTGTTCAAAAACTCTTTCAGGTCAGCTGAAGATGATTCAGGCAGTTGATATTTCAGAGGTTCTCCTTGAAAAGTTCTATAGGCAATCTGTGGTGTTAGTAAAGAACTTTGTGGTGGTTTGCCTACAAGCATTTCTACAACAGTGCAGCCCACACTCCTGTAAGAAAATAAAATTGATGAAAACATTAAACTCAACAACTGACAAATTAATTAATAAAAGCCCCATGGCATAAGCATATAGATACAGGTAACACAGGCCCTACATTTTATGTTATAACTATTGTGATACTTTGTGATTTTTTTGTAAAAAAAATAGTGCCGGTATTCAGTGATGGATTGCCTAACTTTGAACTACCAGTTTGCACCTCGATGCAATCAAAATCACAGCTGCAAAGATACTAAATGTCTAAAACAATTTAATAAGCTATTGAAACTATAATAAATTAATAATAAACATTAAAATACAAGAGAATTAATAATTTTTCCCCACATTGAAAAAGGTGCCGTTACGCCTACCATTGTCTGGTAATACTGGTAGTACTGGTAATACTATAGATGAGTATAGTGGAGTGGTTCTTAACTATCTTAAACAATCAATAAAACAATAATAATTCACTATAGTACTCAACTTTTAACTGCACTGAGTGGTTCAAAATTTAGTTAAAATCTTAAATCTAGTCTACATTTTAATTATTTATTAGAATCTAGCAGTGGCGTAGCGAGGTCGGGTGTCACCATGTGCGGCACTTAATGGTGTCACCCCCCCCAGAGGCATAGAGACCCTTACCAGGGACAAACTTTCAAATTTTCGATTTTCACCCCCCCCCCTCAAACTTTCGATTTGCACCCCCCCCCCCCCCTCAAGTTTTCGATTTGCACCCCCCTCTCAAACTTTCGATTTGCACCCCCCCTCGAGTTTTTGATTTGCACCCCCCCCCTCAAACTTTCGATTTGCACCCCCCCTCGAGTTTTTCTCTATATATTTTGCTATGTTTTGCCTTGGTGTCACCCCCCTAAATGGTGTCACCCGGTGTGGTCCGCACCCCCCCCCCCCTCGCTACGCCCCTGGAATCTAGTACTAAGTAGATAGCAGGCCTAGCCCTATAGGATAGGCCTAGGTAAGTAGGAACTTAGCTAGTTTTCTTTGATGGTTTATAACCTTTCAAATTTACTAAAACTTACTTATAATAAATATTATGCATTGTATTTTATTTATAAGAATATTGTATTTGTCTTGAATAAAAATGTACTTCTATAAATAATCAGCTTTTTATTTCTGTTATTAGAATATAGAGCACAGTTTTTTTTCCTCAAAATCTATTTTTCATATTCATTTTATTAATATTTTTCTAAGCAGCTATTTCATTTGTGTGGGGATGATGTGGTTGGATAATGGATAATAGAGCTAATGACTGCTGGCACAGATGTCTCAGGTTTGGGGCTTGAGTTCGTCTTGGTCTGTTGGGTACATGACACACAAAGGTGGCTGGGCAAACTGCTGACTACACTGTTCATATGTATGCTAGGGTAATTGAAACAGATGAACTCTACTTCAACACTACTCATTGGGTCTTGGGCACACACAGGAAAGGAGGATAATAAAGATTCCATTTGCAATAAAACTGTTAAGTTTCCCTAGTTGCAGAAGGCAAGAATAAACACTACGGTTAAATAGAACTTCTCACTATGGAAGGTTTTTTTTTTTTACAAAGGCCATTAGTATAATTATCATTAATTAGTATTATGTTACAAATTTAAAAGTAACAACAGCAGTTCTCACAATAATATTATCTAAAACTTTGCATAAGCAAGAATTAATTCAATTGTAAAAACATATACAATACATAGCCTAATCAAACTCTAAAAATCACATAATGAAAGTGATTTTGATATTTTGAAAGTTATTATGAAAAAATCTTAGTGTAGAGTTTATGAAAATTACATATTACTAATATGAAAGAAATGTGCATAGTGCTGACCACAAAATCACATCATACGCTGAGGTGAAGAAACATATTACATCATCAGCTCTATGGACCATTAAGTTTGAAGGGTTTACTCTACTTACTTATAATGTAAGAAAATGAAATCAGAAACTAGTTAAAAAATAAATATTTTAAAATAAAATTAAAACAACAGATAATCACCTTTTTTTGTTTTGAAATATATATTATCACAAAAAACAAAGACTGAACAAGATAAATGAAAAGTAACTACCATATATCCAGACTAGTTGCGTTCTTTAAAATTTCACCCTCAGAGCATGTAATCAACTCAGGAGCCATGTACTGAATTGTGCCACCTCCTGCATTAACCCCTTCATCTTCATTGTAAATTGTTGAGAGACCAAAGTCAGTTAGTTTGATGTTTGACTCATCCACCATCAAAATATTATTACCTGTTTTAGTTTAAAAATAAATATATTGTTTAAAATTACAAACGTCATCATTTTTCTTTCTAGGTTTGTAACCATTTGTTTTTCAAGAAACTTTAAATATTATGATATTAACTTCATCAACATATTCTCCCATTCATGTTCAAGATACACATATTCTAGATACATGGGGCAGATGAATTAGAGTTCATCTGTTTCAATGATCTTCACATATGGGGGTAGTGTTATCAGTAGTATGCTCAGCAACTTTTCTGTCCCTATCATGAGTCAGGTACTCATCAGAGCTGTGTAGACTCAGGGACATACAGCAGAATCGAACCCAGGATCTGAAATCATTACTTGAGAGTTATTAGTAGTAAGATCTACCAACTGACCACAACATCCTTTGATATTAACATTAGACCACATTTAAACTTCTTACGTTGCAATACCTACTTCTGGGTAATAATTAGATGATTATTTATCCTATGCTTTCAGTTTACAAAAGATGTAAATAAAATAAATACCCTTAATATCTCTATGCAGAATATTATTTTCATGCAAATAGTTGACAGCTTCAAGAATTTGGATTGTAAAATGTTGAGTACATTTTTCATCCAAATTACCTCTCTTGGAAATAAATGAAGTGAGGGTACCCTAAATAGGCATCAAAATAAAATGAATCGGTTATACACCATATAAATTAATTAATTTAAAAGAAAAAGTTATGTACATACCAAGTAAAAATATGCCAATATCAGTAACATCAATTTCAACAATATAAAAATTAAAAAAAAAACATTACTTGTCTTATATACTCCATGAATATTAAAATATCATCATCATCCTTTTTATATCCATGAAATTGAACAACACGCCTATGTTTTAGTTTCAGTAGGATGGAAGCTTCATTTGAAAAAGTTTCCTTTTGAATAGAACAAAAATTATTTCAGTAGGATTGAAGCTTCATTTGAAAAAGTTTCCTTATGAATAGAACAAAAATTATTTCAGTAGGATTGAAGCTTCATTTGAAAAAGTTTCCTTATGAATAGAATAAAAAATATTTCAGTAGGATTGAAGCTTCATTTGAAAAGGTTTCCTTATGAATAGAATACAAATTATTTCAGTAGGATTGAAGCTTCATTTGAAAAGGTTTCCTTATGAAAAGAATAAAAAATATTTCAGTAGGATTGAAGCTTCATTTGAAAAGGTTTCCTTATGAATAGAATACAAATTATTTCAGTAGGATTGAAGCTTCATTTGAAAAAGTTTCCTTATGAATAGGATAAAAAATATTTCAGTAGGATTGAAGCTTCATTTGAAAAGGTTTCCTTATGAATAATATAAAAATTATTTCAGTAGGATTGAAGCTTCATTTGAAAAGGTTTCCTAATGAAAAGAATACAAATTATTTCAGTAGGATTGAGCTTCATTTGAAAAGGTTTCCTTATGAATAGAATAAAAAATATTTCAGTAGGATTGAAGCTTCATTTGAAAATGTTTCCTTATGAATAGAATAAAAATTATTTCAGTAGGATTGAAGCTTCATTTGAAAAGGTTTCCTAATGAATAGAATACAAATTATTTCAGTAGGATTAAAGCTTCATTTGAAAAAGCTTCCTGATGAATAAAATGAAAATTATTTTTAAATATCCCAAAGTTAGGTAAATGTTTCTTAGTTGTTCCATTGTATGCTTTATAGATCATGCAATGCATAAGAATATTTTTTTTTAAATCATTAAATGTATATTGTTATGGAACTCAACTATTTAAGACTATTCTTAAAATTAATAAAACTTGGGTAAAAGCAATATTTTATTGTAATAATTTTGTTTAATTTAATTTAGGACTTTTCTTAAAATTAATAACATTTGAGTGAAAGCAATAGCTAATTATAACTATTTTGTTTAATTTAATTTAGGACTACTCTCAAAATTAATAAAACCTGAGTAAAAGAAATATTTTATTATTACCATTTTGTTTAATGTACTGAGCAAAAGTCTTTTGGCGACAATTTTTTTTTCGTCAGGTTTATTCAAATCTATGACCAGGTGTACACTACCAAATGTACCTCGACCAATGGATGTCACTTCTAAGTCAAAGTTTTGGGGGAATTCTCCAGAAACAAATTTATCTGTTTATAAATTTAAAAGAAAATGATGTAAGTTTAGCAATTTTTAAATAACAAATAAAAAAAAAATGCATAGCATTAAGCAAAACAGTTTGACTAAAATAATTTTATTTTTAGGTTATTTTTGTAATATTTAGCAGTTTTTGCAAAATTTATATATGCTGTCAGGATAAAATAAAAAGAACAGCTTCTTTATACCTGGTATTGTAGGTAAAATTCCAGTGGCATTTCCAGCTGTCCAAAACATTGAATTGATATTGGATGAAATAGTGCTGGTCTGGGAACTGCGCTGCCTTTGTAGGTTGTACGCCAATTTTTCATTGGTTATGATCTCATGACTGTATTTTTCACCAGGGCCCAACTCTTTTAAACATTCACTAGCACATTCTTTTTCTTCAATGCTATTAAAGACCATAATTTGTGTGAGGGTCTCAATAACTGGAGCTATCTACAAAACATGTAAAAATGAAAGAAGACCTCCTACTTGAATGTTATATAATAGTTTGAAATGTTTTTAAAAAAAAATAATAAAAAAGATAGGAATTTTTTTAAAAATGTACTTTAGATTAAATTCCATTTGTTATTGTATGTGTTCTTAAAAAGAGCTTTGCGTCAATTTTAATTTCAGTATCGATTGTTTACCAAGAGTGTTCAAATAAAACTTGGCCTATCATTTAGAATAATTTTTGTTGAGGATACACTGGTTTATCTGTTTGCAATTCATTCAATGCCTTGATACTGTATAGAATGTCAGGGTTCAAACTTTAGCAGTGACACTAACACAGCTAGGTTACAACTGTAAGCTGGTAGGCTTAAAAATCTTTAGAAGTTGCATAATCTGTTTTCATAAATTTAAAAGTTTACTGTGATTTACGACATTTTTAAAAGGCTAGTCAAACAAAATTCTTCTAAAATAAAAAAGAAAATACCTCAATATTTTCTTGCTGATTTCTTACAAGCTTAGCAAATGCTTGCAGAAAAATAGAAAGAGGAAAACTTTCATACCGACCAATTCCCTTTTGAATTAAATCACGTAAATGTGAATCATTACCTGTAGAATATAAATGTCATTAATTTAGCAATTTGTTAAATTTTTTAAATTTTTTTGTTAATTCTCTTACAATTATTATAAGAGAAAGATGAAGGTTACACTGATTTATGCCTTTTACTTAATAATGTGATTAGTTTAATTTGTACAAATATTTCCAAGAAAACTTTATGACGATAGTCAAATTAAAAGGTAAGAATTTTAAAAGAGAAGAGAGTGACTTCCCCTTGTAAATGTGTTGGTGTATGCTAAAGAGAGTGAACTCGTTTACTAAAGTGTATATGCCTATTGTTTAATCAGTGGTGTTGTAACACCTGCCTTGTTTCATATGTGCAAACTAGTTAATCTAGTGGATCATATACTTTGTTTTATGGAGCTGGTTTGTTATTTTCTTCTGACCGTTGCCCACCTGAATCAATTTGCCTTAAAACAAGAATTGGGCAGTTTTATCAACTTACTTTTTTCCTGTTCTAGAATAAGCCAGTGCTTTAATTTTAAAATGTCATCACAAAAAGTTATGTCCAAAAGTGCCTGCACAAAAGTGAGAAATATCAACATAGTTGAGTTTAGTCAGTAAAACAACATTAAATTGATACAAAATACAGAAGAAAAGATTTGAATGTTAGATTTAACTTACAGTTTTTATGTAAGTGGAATTAAAGTATCCTTTCAATTCTTCTTTTCTTGACATGTTGAATAATATTCCAATAATATTCTTGGTAATATAATATGATGTGTGAATCTGAAAGTAGTAAATGGAAGAATAAACAAATGATGTTATTACAGGAAAACTTCACACACACACAATAGTTACAAAGCTTTATTTTAGTATTTATATGGATTCTTAAGCTTTTTGCACTTGAAACTCAAGGCTTATCTGATTAGAGTTTAAAATATGCATTTTAATTACAGATATATATTATAATAATTTTTATATATATTTTGGACGAGTCAATACATGTTTATGTAAGTCTGTTCCAAGAAATTATTAAATTTATAGAGGATTAGTGTGTGTTGTTAATTAAAATTATAATTTCTTATGTATATCACATATAACTATGTACATCAGGAACTCTAATGTTTTATATGTGACTAATATACACAATAAAAACTATCTAACAAAAGAAAATGTATTATCATTATAATTATGTAATGATACGCTTTTTAAAAAGACACAATTGTAAAATTACCTGCCCTTTTTGTGAGTGTAGGTAATCAATAAACAATTTCAATGCTTCTCCATTGACCAACTCCTGAAAAAAAATAGGTGTAGATCTTATTTACTGCATTTATAAAATAATACATACATGAAAGAAAATTGTCAATACAGGATTAGAGTTAATAACATCGCTAAACAATAGTAAACAACTTTACCAATGAGAAATTTACACTGCAAAAAGTCCCTCCTATTAATATTTCTAGTGGATAGTGGCAAACAGTGATGGAAAAATTAGGTGACGCAGTATTAAAGAGGTTTACTTCCCTCATATGAGCAATGGTCAGATCTAAAAATTTGATGTGAAAAATGATTTTTTTAAAAAAATCAGCAGTTTTGCAGTTTGAAACTTAGTAATAAATAATAAAGTACTTTCAGCCAAAATAAATTTAAAAACAAACAATTTAAAAATGGCACAACAAGATTATTAATACATACTTGCAACAATATTGGGAATAAAACATGTGATTAAAATGAGATCATTAAAACAATTTTACTTAATTTTAATGTACCTGGGTAACTGTGCTCAAGAAGTAGGGAAAAGAAATCTGTGACTTTATCCTTGTATTTAATAAAAATTTCAATGTACAACATGTGCAAGGTTTTTTGGTAGACGAAAAAATTCAGAGCATCAAATTGTTTCATACTGGTATACTCTGACATAATATCAGAAACACATCCCAACAGTTCCTCACATGTCGGTACCTAGCAAAAAAAAAAAACAACATGAACTCAAATAAAACAAATTAAAACTGAACATAATTGTAAAACTAATGTATATTACAAACTATGCAAGCATCCCCTACATTTATATCATTATAATTTTTTTTAAATACTTTAAATATTTAATTAATAATCAAGCACTATCAATAGAATAGTTTCATATGTTTTGTCATTATTACATGTTGCCAACATTTTGTTAACATGTAATATTAAATTAACAATGAAGATGTAAATGTTAAAAATATGAAACTGAATAAGTGAAAAATTATTCCTTCAAAAAATTAATATAAATGCTATAAAATATTATCAATATTTGTTTAAGGGTGATTAGAAAATATAAGTCAGTACATGTGTAAATTAAATTATCATATAATTTTACATAACTAGAGTTAATTACAGTCCATACTTCAAAAAGGGTTGAAACAAGAAATAATTACCTGATGCCAATTATTGTATAAAGTTGTAGTCAGAAAAATATTGAGCGACCTGTAAAATAAAAAATAACAAACTTGCAATTTTATTTAACAATTCTTTTTTTTCTACTATAATGATTGTTTTTAACTGCATTCTTAAGTTACCACACAAATAGTATATAATATCAAACATAATTTTTAATTGAAATATTGAATAAAAGAAATTTTAGCTTAAAATGTCTTACTATGTAAACCAACATAACTACAACAGGCAAATAAAATCATGTCTGATTCACAATTTGTTTAGCAACAATATGTCTTACACATCCTGAATCTAGGAAAATATACACACACAAATATACACCTCTCTCTTTCTCTCCCCCTCCCCTCTCTCTCTTAATATATATATATATATATATATATATATATATATATATATATATATATATATATATATATATATATATATGCATATTAATGTATGAATAGGAATAGATATATTTTTATATATAAAATATCTAAATATATATATTTTACACAAAAATAAATGCATTATTAACCTTTACCTTTTAATACCACATAAAGCATTGTCTGTTTGTACTTCTAATCCCAAAATCTCAGTCATAAAATCTTAAAGAAATACATTTTATTTTGTTATAAAAATGAATATTAATATGGACACTAGCAAAATAGATATATATATATATACATACATATATAACAATAGAGAAATAGAGAGAGATACAGATAGCGAAAGGTTACATTGGTTAACATTATTTACCTTGTTTTAACACTGCTCGTTTACGGTTACTTTGAAAAATCCATTTTGTGGAGGCAAATAATTTCTTTATTATGTTCAACTCCCTTTGTCTTATCCCCCTCTTGTAAGTATTCAAATATTCTTGACACTTTTCAATAAGATTAAATTTTGCCTTTTCTAAAGCAATCATAACTACCTCTAGCATGTATAAGTTCCTTACATGGACCATAGTAATATTCCTAAGAATTAATTCGACCACGTCATCGTGATCATGCAGTAGAGCTGTAACTACAGCATCCCATCCCTCTCTTCCAACATGATTAACATTGATCCCTCTTTTGAGCAGTAGCTCTACAGTTTTATAATGGCCTTCACATGAAGCTATTATTAAGGCATTATCACCCATTAATGTGATTTTATTTATATCACTACCTTTGTTTAGCAGCATTTCAACCATATCAGGTAATCCATGAAATGCTGCATGTATCAGAGAACTGGCTCCTAAGTTATCAGTTTGATTTACATGAACATCAAAAGTCAGAAGAAACTCAACTAATTTTTCATAACCCAACCTTGAGGCTGACACTAAAGCATTTGATCCAGTACAATCAACAACATTGATGCCAACTCCTTTATTAATTAATAGTTTCACTATTTCTAATTGATTGAAAATTAATGTTTGAATGAAAACTTCTCTCTCTTCTTGTGTTTTCTGTAACATAATTTTGCTTATTGTTTGATCTACATTATCTGATGCCAGCATCAAAGCATTCCTTCCATCTTTATCAACTATATGAACATCACATTCAGTGCTAGTAAGCATTTGGACAATATTTAAATTTCTTACTATTGATGCCAACATTAAAGCACTACGCCCGTCACTGTCAACAATATTGACTTCACTTCCTGCTTTAAGTAACATTTCAACAATTTTTTCATACCCTCCTTTTGATGCAAACATCAATGCATTATATCCGAATTTATCCATTACATTTACTTCACACCCCTTTTGGAGAAGCATTTCTACAAAAATAACATAACCATTGGCAGCTGCCAGCATCAAAGCAGTTTGATTTTCTTTATTTACTTGATTAACACAGCAGCCTTTATCTAAAAGCTTCTTTACCACTTGTTCAAGTCCATTGCATAATCCAATGATTAATGCATTGTTACCATCAATATCAACCTGATTAATTTCACTTCCATTATTTAATAAAATTAGAGCATTCTCTTCCTTTTTTGCTTCTGTTGCGTATATTAAAGCATTTTTTCCATTTTTGTTACAACGATTTACATCGCTACTCTTACTAATTAAAGCATTTACTATCTCTGGACTTGATACACATGACGCATGCATCAAAGCATCATCTCCCATTCTGTCAACAACATTCACATCACTTCCCTTATTAAGTAAAAGTTTTGACACTTTGATTCTATCTTCTAATCGACCTTGCATTCTACTACCAATTGACACTCTGAAAGCATTCCAACCTAAATTATTTGTTTTATGCATGTTCCATCCTTTATCTAACAGAAGTTCAACCACATCAATGTATCCATGCTTGCAAGCAATCATTAAAGCATCATTACCATTTTGATCCACTCCTGTTTTATTGCAACCGTTGCTTAGAAGAATTTCTATACATCCTACATTGTTATATTCAGAAGCAACCATCAAAGCATCATAACCAGCTTGATTTACTCTATGTAAGTCCCATCCTTTTGATATCAGCATCTTTACAATGTCGTTATTACCGTTTTTGATAGCAATCATCAAAGCATCATTGCCTTCATAATCTCTTCTTGTCTGATCACTGCCATTATTTACAAGAATTTCTACACAATTTAGGTGCCCATGTTCTGCTGCAATCATCAAGGCATCACATTGAAATGAGTTAACTGAGATGATGTTACTTCCACTATTTATTAACAGCTGGACAGATGCACTGCAACCACAAGATGATGCTTGCATTAATGCATTTTGCTTATATACTTTGTTCACTGTGTTTACATTGGATCCACATTGAATCAAGATCTCAGCTATTCGCTCTCGGTTGGCTTTTGTTGTTTTTTTATGCACTTGAATGCTATGTTTCTGCTTATTTTCTGAATACACACTGCTTTTGACTATTTGCGATAAATCAGTAAATACCCTCCGCAGTTCATTATAAATAAGCAACAATGCATGTTCACCATCTTGATTACAAGCATTAACATTACAGCCTTTTTGAAACAAAAGCTTTACAGCCCCACTGTGGCCAGACTCAGCAGCCAACATGAAAGGAGTGCAGTCATACTTGTCTGTCTGATTGATGTCTCTTCCTCGCTTCAGTAGCATTTTTATAACTTTTTCATTCCCATATCTGGCAGCAAGCATCAAAGCTGTGTGTCCCTCATTATACTTATTTACAGATTTAGCCAAACATGTTTGTGACGATAGATAATATGCATGCATTAAATCTTTATGATAATCACGTTCACAATTTCTAGTAAAATCAGACACTGCCATTTTATCACATAATTAGGATAAATTCTTGCTGTTTTATGATGTTCAAATAGTAAGAATAAAAATCCTCTCAGAGAAAATGTAAGGAAATTGCAACAATTACTTTAATGTTAAATGTCTTATATATCAAATATGTTGTACTAGATCTAGTAGTAATTTCACAGGTTTATTGAAGATAGAATCCAAGATAATAATAAACCCTGCATTGTGACATATGTCGTATAGATGTTGAGTATAGTTTCATTTCAAAGCAGGCAAGCTGTAAATAAAATTAAGAAATGTATAATTAAGGTGACACCAACACTAGTAGGTCTACATTCTATAAATTTATAAATTCTTCCTTGTGGAAGTATTTACAGGACCTGTGAATCAATGCAGTAGCTTTACTTCTAAGAGAAAAAAAAAACATATTTTACAACAGCAAAATGATAAATAAGATTGGGAATTCCGAATAAGGCACTTGCAAATACCACACCAAAGTCCCGGTTAGTCCAGATTTTAAAATATTTTTTTAGCACAGTTCTTATATGCGAAGAAACTAGTTATTTGAGTTTTATGACCCCTAATTATTAGGTGACCAACACATAGACAACACATAATCTACTTTATAAAATGTAGTTAATTTGAATCATTTTTGGACACATTAGATGTATTTTGGTTGTGTGATGTAAAAAAAAAGAATCATTTATTTTTTATTCATTACCACAAAGCTATTTGTTTATTTTTTTTTCAAAATCACCATACAGATAATAAATAGGCCTAAATAAATATATTTATATATACATATAGATTATATAGGCTATAGGCCCTATATATATATATATATATATATATATATATATATATATATATATATATAGGACCTATAGCCTATAATCTATAAGAATTTAGTGTGTAAAGCCTGAGCTTTGAAATTCCTTAAAATTATGGGTAGCGTTAGCATTGACATTAACAACTTAAAGAACTTGACATTATCAACGTGAAATAAGTAGATCTATTTATAATTAAAGAAAAGCCTAATTTAGTGATTATGAGCATGGGTCATGATGGTTGCATCTGTTGGAAACATCGCTAGTCTTCATTTATTACTGAAAACTTTTCAGTGAAAAGTTATAATTCAATTGTTTAAAGTTTAGTAAAAGATGTGCCTGTAAATTTATATAAAACAAGGAAACATTTTTGTATTTTTCAAAACATAAATCCTCATCAAATTGTGAAATAACTATTAAAATTTAAGGAGTTTAAGGTTTTTCCCATTACTAGTCGCGGGCGATTTTGCGTACCTAATACGATACTTGACGATAGATTACAATTACCGATTAGATCTAGTGGACTTTTAGTTTTAGGTCTACTTGATCTAGATCTAGAATCTAGATCAAGACTCATAGAGGCTACAGTATATATATACTAACGTACATTTTCTAGGCTACATTCTAAGTAGATTTCTTTATCTAGAATCTAGATTTAGAATTAGTTAGATTCTAGATCTAGTTCTAGATCTATATCAGTACTAGGCATGCTGCCCAGCTTTGCTTAGGCTTTCGAAAACATTGAGAATTTGAATGCTTAATTAATTCGCCCGAGGGTCGGTCTACGACCTAAGGAGTTATGAAGAGGTTCCTCCGTGGACATCTTTTTTTCGATTTATAGCTCATATAAGGCGCCGGTCAGTCGAGGTCAGTTTTGACCCCATCATCGTAGACTTTTCGGCCAACCGGCCCCCGTGTTCTGTCGCCCCAAGGCAAGATCCTGTCAAATTTGAAGCGCCTACGGCGCCGGGAAGTGCCCTATCGGGCACCCGACAACTTTGCTTTATATATTATAGAGATTAGCAAATTGCATAGATAAACAAAGATTTCAATAAAGTAATTAAGGCCTGAAATACTTTAGTATAGAAATGTATTATTTGAATAGATGAATCTAGAATATCTAGATCTAGAATCCAAATAAATAAAATAAATTTTATGAGTTTAGGCCGGAAAAATTGTATTGTATACATTTCATAGTGTACGTAGATCTAAATCAAATTTGAATGAAATAGTTCATTTCTTTTCATTCTAAACACGGCAGATGACGTCATTAGTTAATGTATAAGCAATAGTGACGTCACAGTTTCATGCGTTCTTTTTCACATATATAAATGCTTTTCCGGTTGCATAAATAATACTGTTTCTCTACATTCGAATACGCTTTTAATTTTTATTTTTATTCTTTAAATAAAATTGTGGTTATACATTTAAAACATCTAACATATTATTTTCAACAAAAGTCCGTATAAAGTTCTCCATATATCGCTGCCGTTTCTGACGTGATGTCCGGCGAAAATATTTTGCGGACAGACAGAGAGAGAGAGAGAGAGAGGTGCGCACATGGGGAATTATATATTAGGATATCAAGACAGAAATTTACTTCTAAGAAAAACACGATTCAAAAATCATGAAAAACGTAAACAGGGAGGTCACTCTTATTCAATGTAGATTCTACGCTTTTTACCGGTAGATCTATAAATATAAGCAATCATTACAAATCCATTCAATAATTTAAGAATAATTTTAGTTTCACCAACATATTTTTTCCTTGATTTCCGTAAAAAAATACTTAAAGGAGAATAACTTAAATATATATAGATATCTACTAATACTATTGTATAGGGATCAGTGGTGTAATGAGGTCGGGTGTCACCCGGTGCGGCACTTAATGGTGTCACCCCCCAGAGGCGTAGCAACCCTTCCCGTAGCCCGTGGACAAATTTCCAAGTTTCGATTTCCACCCCCCCTCAAACTTTCGATTTGCATCCCACCCCCTCAAATTTTCGATTTGCACCCCCCCCCCCCCCCCATCCACCCATGACGGGATTTATTACATTTGCTCTTAACAGACTTTTTAACACTCGAATTAATCACTTAATTAAGTGGAAATATCATTTTTCTCTATCTATTTTGATATTTTTTGCCTTGGTGTCATCTCCTAAATGGTGTCACCCGGTGTGGTCCGCATCCCCCCCCCCCCCACCCCCTCGCTACGCAACTGATAGGGATGTAACATATTTTGTTAAAACCTTCTTTTTCTAAGCTTACTTAGTTTGCAACAGTGGCGTCGCTAGGCCATGTGTCGCCTGGCGCAGCACCTCATATTGTCACCCCCCCCCCTTTTTTTTTCCTTTGTAAATGTTACAGTTGGTGTCGCGCCCCCCCCCCCTACCTCTGTTGAAAGCGTCCATTTGTTTGTTGGTTTGTGGATTTGTGACAATTTTTTTTTTAAAATTCCATTCTGACCCACTTCTAATACACCCTTTCGTTCAAACTTGCCATATACCTTTTCGTTTTAAGAAAATGCAAGAATATCAAATTTTCAATTTATTAGATGCTTAAATAGTCATTAAACATTGATTTCAGATTACTATTAACATAACTGAAGGAGAGATACCTAATTAGAAGCGATCACCCGATAAGTCCGCTAAACTTTGATTTACGCTGAATGTTTACAATCTTGAGCTGAATCAAGTTAAAAAGGCTATTATAGGCAGATAATAACTTTAAAAAGGTTTTTTAATAGAACTCTGGCACGTCGATTGTGTAATCAAATCAAATAAATTAAATCGATAATTTATAAATACTAATATAGGATAGAAGGGAGTTTTGGTGTGTTAACACGTCTGAAACAAATAATGCACTTGAAAGTTTCGGGGGTGGGGGGCGGCAGACTTTCTTCGGGGGGGGGGGGGGGGCGGACACTGTTAAAAGTATATATTTTCTATATAAATGATATAAATTTCATTTCGTTCTTTGGGGGGGGGGGGGTAAAAACATTTCGGGGGGGGGGGGGCTGAAGAGATGCCTGGAAGAAACTCTGTAAGAGAGAACGTTTAAATCAAGCGAAAAAATAAATAAATAATCGCATTTACGAAGTATTAGTCTCAATTGCAACCGCAACTGAATATAACATAATTATTTTTTTTACCGATGTATATGATGTGCTAAATAGTCTAAAATAAAAACATATATTTAGCTGTTAAAAATATATTGTACATTGCGAATAAAAAAATATCAGACCAATACTTTGCATCGACAAAAACAATGTTTTATCTATTTTAACATTGAAAGAGCTAATTAAGAATTCTATTTGAAAATCAACATAGATCTATAGACTTTAGTGAGTTTCTTGTAAAGTTTTGATTTGTTTGTAACAATGAAAAAAATGTGAAAAAGTTGAGGTGTAACTAAAAGTCGTCAAAAAGACTCATAACGTCAAAAATGGATTTACGAAACAAAAAGTGTAAGCAGAAACAAAGAAAACAAATACTTAACGCTTAGGCATGAATCTAAAACGATTCAAATTTTCATCTTAATCTTTTCAACTCATTAACTTTTTGTATCAAAACTTTCCACCCTTAAAAATAATTATTGTTAGAAAAGAAATATACTATCAAAAAACCGCAAAAATTGCTTTTCTATCAACAGATTTCAACTGAGAAATAAACTTTTAATGGAAAACAATTATAAATAGCATGAATAACTTTTATCATAGATGTTGCAGGCTTGCTAGTTGTTTTCTTTAGTCACCGATACAAAATGGACAAAAATAACACATTTCGCTACAATTCATGACAGATATGTCATTAAATTTAAATTAAATAAAATTAACATATACATATATACTATAATTTATTCATATTTTAAGGTCAAGTCGAATTAACCAATGCTGTATTTCGTGCTATAATAATCAATCACATTATTGATTGTTTTAGGTCACATTTAACATAAATCGATTGGCATATATAATGGAGTACAGAAAGATACCTGAACCCGCCATTTTTATTGAACGGTTATACACAGTATTAAGTCTAGCTAACACATATTTGAATAGGCTAGCAAATAATACATTGCATTGTGCTTGGGAAAAATCAATACCGACAGGCAAACGAACGTTATTTGAATAGACTTAACATTGCGTTAACACACGGCTATCGTAAGTCTTAACTTTAATGTTGTTCATAAAGCATATATTATTAAACAGACTTATTTCTTCTGTTATTGTAATTATCTC